TGAAATTATCAAGATTTATAAATAACGACTTGCAACCATTTACAATGTAGATAGATAGGGAACACACATTGATTGTTTTTAAAAGAATCCAGGCATTATCATGAATCATGGAACGAGTGCGTAATAATGCTCTATGTTGCGTTTTGACGATGCTGAAGGAAGGGAGCCGTTGCGATTCACTCACAACACACGCACAGAAGTCCACTCGACTGCAGTGCAATTTCTCCACGAGTACGCCGAGGAAGCTCAGCGGATCTCCACAAGAACTTTCACCCATCACCTGCAATGGAATATGGGCTGTATGATACGACCAGCGGCTAACACGGGAAGTGGCGTCATTTTCCACAAATCTCGTTTCATTCACAACCATTTGACTGCAATTCAGTGCAATTTCTGCCTAAAGCTCAGCGGATCTCAACACGAACGTTCGCCCATCACCTGCAATGGAATATGGGCTGTATGATACGACCAGTGGCTAACACGGGAAGTGGCGTCATTTTCCACAAATCTCGTTTCATTCACAACCATTTGACTGCAATTCAGTGCAATTTCTGCCTAAAGCTCAGCGGATCTCAACACGAACGTTCGCCCATCACCTGCAATGGAATATGGGCTGTATGATACGACCAGCGGTTAACACGGGAAGTGGCATCATTTTCCACAAATCTCGTTTCATTCACAACCATTTGACTGCAATTCAGTGCAATTTCTGCCGCAAATTCAACTCCACGAGTACGAGGAAGCTCAGCGGATCTCAACACGAACGTTCGCCCATCACCTGCAATGGAATATGGGCTGTATGATACGACCAGCGGCTAACACGGGAAGTGGCGTCATTTTCCACAAATCTCATTTCGTTCACCCCAACTCAAATAAAAGTGAAGTACATTAGGGATTTATCTTGCATTTCCATCGCCTCAGAATAAATTAACTTCGATAAACTGAGAGAGAATGAGTGAGGCAGCTGGAAGAATTGAGGATGAAAATAGAGATCAGAAGACTCGACGAAGCAATCGTCTCCGTGCTCTAAGAGAAATCGGAGAATGTCCCAATTAGTATTTCAAGAAGACATCACAATTTTCGAAAATAATAATTTCCTTGCCTCGCAACACCGTTCTCTGGCAGCGTTCACCGGCAGCGCGAGGCAAAGATGTTTTCTGGGAATGTGTGCCGTGTCCTCTCCCGGGCTTTTACGACTCCCTGGTGATAACCGTTAGTGATAGTGAGGAGCAGATGTAGTCATCAACATGCACAAGCGTCATCTACACTATCTATTGTACTAAACACTAGTATCGGAAAGAGCTCACCCTCCCCCCCCCCCCCCCCTCCACACACACATACATGTACATACACATGCACACGCGCACACCGCCCTTTGCTTGGTATCCTGCTTATTAGCTCAGTCCACAGCTGCCCAGTATACTTGCACTATCATTAAATAATTTTCATTGTTTTAAGGATGTAATTTCTTGCTAGCAGAGATGATAGCGACGGCAGACATTCAAAAAAAGTGTCCGTTACTCATAACTCCGGCTTATTTCGTGCAGAACTCGCCTCGAAAATGTGAGAAATTATTAATTTGCGTCTTGGTCCCTGGAGGATCTAGGAGCATCAGGTTTCTTCCACCACATCAAGCAATCCAGCGGCAGGTGCAACACCTACGCCTTTTCGTCTTGAATAAGAGGGTAGACCAAAGTATATGTTCCAGACACCGATGAATGTACATTGTACAAGTATTAATTACTTCAGTAGGAAATATGGAAATGTTAATATTGCACACGTTGTACACATAGCGGACGTGTTCTATGATTACAAATCAAAGAGACTCCGGGTAAATGTGCCCGTTCAGGTCACTTTGTTGTAGTTTCCGAGTTTCCAAGACAGATCACTCATTCACAGCATTTGAATGCACCTGTCATGATCTGCGTCGGGTCCGGTACCTCACCTTACATCTCTACCATTGACGTCCGGGATGGACTGGCTCGATCCAAACCATCAACCCTAGTCAAGTCACATCTCATTCGAAATGTCAAAATCGGGATGAATGAGAAGGGCGGTTAGCTCAAGCGTGGTGAACCTGAGTAGCCTCCCAAACAGTAATGCTCACCTACACATGAAGACGATTTCCGCGATACGCTATAAAACTGCCCCCTACGTAGATCTAAACAAATTGTAGGTTTATAATGACGTCATGGTTTCCGTTTGATTACACATACAATGTACATGTATGTGGAATCAAACGGAAGCCTTGATACTTCGCAAGTGGACCGTGTAGAACTTACGAGGGCCTTCCCACAAGTCCTGTTCCATTATAATTTTGACACGACGTGTCATTGTTCTGATTTTGTATTGCTTCGCGGAACCCCGCAACCAGACAGTAAACCAATGGCAATGGAGTTTTTCTACATTAGACATCCTGATCCTGTTGGAGATGAATGGGTATTTCTAGATTGCTGTAATCGTCACCTCCCTGGCATGTTGCCCCCTGTCACCTGTGATAATGACCGATACGCGATGGGAACTTGCCGAGCCTGTTCTACACGTGTAGCTATGCATTCTGGGGTATAAATTCTGAACTTCACAGGTAAAATCTATCATTTTAGTTTACAACTTGACGCAGGTGGACGGTACGAAGATTTTGTTCAACCAGCTAAAGAAATCTTGAACAGCATGGCTTCTTCGTGGTCATTTTCAGCAAGAGGTCTTCTGTTCATTTGTTTGTTGGTAGCTATCCAGCCAGAATGCTATGCTGCTCCGTTTGCGAGTAGGACTACATTGCAGACTTTTTTCCCACCGGACGGTGGGCCAACGCTTCGCCGCTTCAAAGGCACAACCGAGAATGTCGTGTTCGATTTTGACTTCTACCACACGACAAGCTACAGTCCAGAGACGTTGGTCAGGTTTTCCGACAACAGCCGGCTGAATCAGGCGCTGATGTCTCCTATACGGGTGAGCCTTGACGAGCATTACGTGGCGGATTTCCACCAGCCGACTATGGTGTGGACGTTCCGGGACACTTCATCAACTCCTGGTCGTGTTCTTGCCACGACAGTCATCACCCAGTCCGTGTTCAACTCAACAGGACATGAGCGTGACCCCCAGGTCTCACCACCCGTTGTACCCGCCTTTGACCCAGATTCCTCCAGGTCGTGGCTGATTGGCACGGAACTGTTGGATGTACCTGCCCCCATTGTGACCCAGGAGACACTGAACAAGTACAACAGGTGGGAGCTCACGTACAAGAACGTCGACAGTGGAAAGCTCACGCTGGTGTCTGAGTCTGTTCACGCTGCCGCATCTAGCATCCCCAAAGCAGTCACTCGCGACACAATCTATGAGCTCACCATGCGTTTCTGTCATTCAGAGACAAAGCAGTGCTCCGTCAGCACCCCCGCTCTTCCTATTGATTTTCGCCCCGACAACCGGCCAGTTATAGATAATGATCTCCTCCAGGGATCGGGTGAATTCACCATTGACTGTCCTGCATGGACTGTACCCAACCTTCCCAAGCTCAGTACAGCACAAGCCCTATTGGACGTCGAGTTGTTCAGAGTCAACACAGATGGCTCTCGGACGTATGTGGACAGGATCATCCGTGCGCCGAACGCCTTCCCGGTTACACGGACTCTGCCCTATGGACAGTACGTGGGCGTGTGGGCGTTCAACGATCGCACCGTCGTCAACTCACCCGCGCTGCTCAGCTCTGTAGCAGTGTACCATCACCCTGCTCTGCATCATCGCACCTCGTACCCAGCCATGCCTGTGTTCCACAATTCCCTCGAGTCGTGGGTTGTTGGTCCCGACCCGCTTCGCATCAGCAGGCCGACGACAAACAAGGGTAATCTGGATGACTTCGATACATGGTGGGTGCACTATCGAGGAGATCAGTCTCAGTCGGAGATTGAAGTCCGAGAGAGCACCGGGTCTCCATTCTCCACCGTCCCCGCTCTCACGGCCGGTAATTATCAAGTAACCCTGACGCTGCACAACACTAAGCTGGGTACGCAGTCCCTGTCCTCACCGGCATTCCGCATCACCGTACTAACCAGCCACCCCTCGCTACCATCACCAAGCCCCGTGGAAGAGAATAATGACCTCGGCGAGTAACTACTCAAGCTACTAACATTTCCAAAAACTTTTTTTATAACATTTCTCAATTTTTTAAGACTTTTCCAACATTTTTTCAAAAATTTCCAACATTGAACCGCTATATTATAAAAAATTCTCGAAATGAGTTTTAACTTAACAGGCACCACGACTTGCCATTCGGTATGATGTATCTGACCTAAAGTGATTTCAATATTTTGAGATCATCGCCTACGTTTGTACAAACGTTATGTCATATAAACAACTATGTCCCTAAAACATTCTTCATCTTTTCTTTCTCATACAAGCATCGTTCGTACACTCAATGTCTCACACACCCGGTATGAGATACACAGTCATGCATGTGCTATGTGACATGGCTCTATCTGCTGTGCTATAACTACTAGGGCCGCTTTTATCGCTTCTCTCCCATACCTTTAGGCACTTTTCACTAGTAACGTTATCATCATTGTTGTCTGAGCATCATGCAATCTAAGTTATCCACAAAAGGTGGTGATCATCAAAACCAAATTGCTATGTACTGTAGCGGACATGGAAATCCAGTCGATTGACCGGGGCCGGCGCCCTCAGTGTGTACAGAACCCTGCATGCAGTGCACAAAGTCATGTTGATCCGATGCGACCAGCGCGCTGCAGCGCATAATGCATGTCCACGGTATCCACGGCTGCATGCCCAGCGCCCTGGGGTCGCTAGACGTGCGACCGGATTTCCACGTCCACGACAGTAGAACCCGCCTATCTACACTGGCTAATGACTTGCCTATCTACATTGGCTAATGGCATGAACAGCCTGCTGATACTGATAGTACAGCTTTCGGAATCCCAACCGTTTTGCTTGCCAAGTTCTGCATACACAACTCTACCATAATGGCTCACTGACTCAGTGCACGGCAATAACTGTTATCAGAATGTTCGATGAGCAAAGCTTACTACATTACATAACGCGAGATGGTAGCAAGAAGCCTCATAAGGTATAAATGAGCATAGCAAATCTAGTTTAAAAGTGATATTCAATTGAGTGGGAGCGTAGCCAGGATTCTAATTCAAGGACTAGAAGTTTGTGAAATGATTTAGTAGGGGACAGTTTGAGCAGGACGGTACAAGATACGGAAAAAAATATTTTAAAATTTGGTCCTGCATGTTTGTCCACATCCACACATGTGTACGTGTGCATGTCCACACGGGTGTGTGTGTGTGTGTGTGTGTGTGTGTGTGTGTGTGTGTGTGTGTGTGTGTGTGTGTGTGTGTGTGTGTGTGTGCGTGTGCATGTGTATGTACTGTTGTGGGTATTGAAATCCGATCATTTTCAGTTAGCTGCAGCAGTTCTGAAGGGTGTGCTGCGTGACTTGGCATAGAAATATTTATAAGTGTTCTTTGAATTCTATCACAATGCGTCTCCTCAAAACTATACCCTTCAAAGAATATAGACAATGGAAAATATGGAAATACTGAACTAGGATTGACTACTCAAGATGGAGACTGATTGGAATGTGTTCTACGGTGCTCAAATGGTTAACCATCTAGGTGCTGTTCACATGAGTGAATACCTACCATGTGTGAAGGGCTGAGGAGTGGGCAGACGGACAGCCTTCCCTTACTGCATAGCATCGCACAAAGGAAATCCTGAGGAACGAAACAAAATGTCAAACACAGAAATAATACAAACTTAGAAGGAGCGACTTAAGCTGTATTAGTGGAGAAGTTGGTTGCACCTACATGCAAGTGGATGCCAGTCATGAGTCAGTCAAGTTTCAAGTTTGGAATTATGTATGAGCAGCCAACTCCATCATAGAAATAATGTTCCTTCTTTTAATGGTTAATGGAATGGGAGAGTTTTGAGAAGAATTTGTATAACCCCTCAACTCTTCATTTGGTAAGTCTCTTGGGAAGTACAAGTACTAGACTCAATTTCAAGCCTTGCGATGCCAACCAGGCACTCATCCGGCCAATACAGTTGACCCCCCCCCCCCCTATGTGTACTATGCATTGAATGAGAGCAGTGCATGTCTGTAATTGCATGCCTCAGGTTTAAGAGCAGGAAATTAAAATCCAGTACACCGATCATGCAGTACTACAGATCTCAACAACTGTACAGTGCCATCATGTTAGATACATAGAGACATGCACATGCTGATATTGTACCTAAACGTCAAACTCTCATCGCACGCCGCCTTTCACAGAACCTGCAGTCTTATCCTTTCAAAATGCTGCACAAAATAATAATACACACAGCTCGCACCTTCCCTGAACCTATTAGATAGGACCAGGGTTGAAGCATCTGTCAACAGTGTCAAGCCAAGTTAGTCTATCTCATGGAGCCTGGAGAGCGCTCTCCACGGAGAGATCCATGCCTTCAGGTCGTACCGAATCGTATCTATCCACCGCAATGGTGGTCGGCCACGTGTCTCTTTTATATCGTTTGTATAAAAATACTGCATATCTTTAGTCAAAATGTTTACTAAATGGTCATCATCCAGTCTGTCTGGACGGGACATGATAACTTATGATGGGAGTTTGGACGCTCAAACACACACACGCAAACACACACGACAAATATCTGACATCTAACCATATCAATCATGCTTACATATGCCGATAATCACCAGCGAGTCCATTACCAGATGATTTCCAGTATAGGCTACGCATGTGATGCTATGCGACTTGTGAATCGGTTGGCTAACCATCATGGTCACATTTCGTCTCCCATCATTGCCAGAAACCTTGACGATCAGAGACGGCGATTCCAAGCCTGTCAGCCTCTGGCCGTTGTATCGCAGAACTATCTTGGTCCTGGGAGGGGGAACTCCCCGGCTGCGGCAGGTCACCGTGCGCTGCTCTCCCTTGCTTAGATAGATGACGTCAGTTTCGGTGCTGAAGGAGACTGTCGGTGCCTGGAAGGCTGCCAGACATACAACAAAGAGGACAATAGCATCAGGCAAGTTGCCTGCGTGGGGCGGGGGGGGGGGGGGCATGTCCCCCCTCAAAATTTCAACCTAGGTTCAGCATGCACATAATGACCATGAATGATATGCACCAGCCAACCTACACGTATGCAGCCGTGCTCCCCTAAAAGAGGGCGCAGCTACGGCCTTGAGCATCATATTCATCAGTACAGGGAATAACATAGAGTATCGATGGTCTATAGGGAAGGTCCCTGGTTTGAGTCCTGGTGGTGACGGTCAATTGATCTCTCCAGATCTTTCCCCCTTTTTCATCACCTCAAGCCGATATTTTACATATTGCTACATTGCTGCACAGTAGAGCAACCAGGCAGGCACAGTGGGTGGTCAAAGACCATGATTGAGATATGAGAGGTGCGTGGTTCAAGTCCTGCCCGGGAGCGGTTTTTCCAGCCGTGCTGCTACCCACAGTCAACTGGGAACTTGTAGCCAGGCAGAAGGAGTACGTGAATGCGGCCAGTGAGGTTTCTCGGCACTTGGGTCAGTGGTTGTGAGCCTTATCCACTCACCCCTCACCATTAGGCGCTGCATATGCCGCTAGGGTTTACGAGGTGTTAGCGGCCGTCGTGAGTTCTCTTCGGGAACGGACTGACACGAGAATTAAATATTTTACTCTACACAGTAGAGCTAGTTCTCTGTTTTCACAGTTATCAATACAGGTGAAATCCTGATAATTTGAACCTCCAAATGCCGGGAAAAACTTCTAATATCCAGACATTCTAATTATCCAAACATGACCCCATAACACAATATGTATGTCAAAATGCTCCCATGGTCACGCAGAGTTGCGCCATGGACCTTAGACACAGATTTCACGGATACTGAACTGACCGGCACAGCCTGCTCATGCAAACTGAACTGACTAGTACAGTGTACAGTGAACTTCGAATTACACTTTGCTAACTTCGAATTATCAGCACAAATCCCACAAATTTTCTATTTAAGTGGAATCCGTGGAACTTCTAATTAACTGGACATGTCCGGTTCGAGGTTCGAATTATCAGAATTTTTTATGTGGGAATCGTATTGACAGAAATCGGTCCTGAAAAAACTTCTAATTAGCGGTATGTTCGAATTAAGCCATATTCGAATTATCAGGATTCCACCTGTACTGCAAAGGGCAGAACTTCCTCATTGCTAAACATGCTTCCAATGTACCTGTTAGTTGTACTGATTTCTTTTTCTTCTCTTCAAGCAGAGTTGGGACATGTAGATTGTGTGGGTGTGTGTGTGTGTCTGTTTCTGTGTGTGTGGGTGTGTGTGTGAGTGTGTGTGTGTGGGAGTGTGTGTGTGTGGGAGTGTGTGTGTGTGTGTGTGAGGGTTGTGTGTGTGTGTGTTTGTATGTGTGTGTGTGTGTGTGTCTTTGTGTGTAATCATGTGTGTGTGTGTGTGTGTTTGTGCACACGAACACATGCATGTGTACATGTGTATACTCTCACCTATGCACACGGGCTGCACTCCATCCCAGGTTGACGTTGTCGACACACATCGTCTCATCTTGGATCCCAGAAGGTGGTAGCCCTCATCACAGCGGAAGAACACTTTCCGTCCTCTGGTCGCCACCTTGACCATTGCATGGCCATGTTGAGGATCTGGCAACGGTTGACACCGCACCGTCACGGTAATACACGTTTGAGAGTTCTCCTCGCCGGCCACTGAGAAACATGTCACGCTGCTCCGGGTCACAGCCGGCCATTTGAAGACCAGGCGGGAGTGCGTTGAGTTGTGGCGTTCTTTGTGAACGTACTTCTTGTCCTGTTGGAGAACGCCGTTGAGTGCACGCGCCATGTATAGCCTTGGAAGAACACACTCAACGGTCACGTCGCTGCCGTTAAATACTGTAAAATTCTCCAGGCTACATCTGATGCTGAAAGGAACTGAAGGACACACACACACACACAGTGGCGGGATACACAGCATTGCGTGAATTGAGTGAATTGCATAGAATGGCATTCAAATGGAGCACAATCTGATCTCAACTCGTGCTCAAGAACACAATCTGACTTATACTCATACTGAGATGTCTTCAACATTAGTGGCTTAGTTCTAACTCCAGCACAGGTGCTGACCGACCTCATTCACACTAGCAACACTACTCCAAGTTTTTATACACAAAGTTGATGTAGACATTGGAAAATATATTCTTTTCTTGCTTTTCTTTAGACACAAACATGAAAGGCTGTTTACACCAATACAGATAGACTCAAACACAAGTTTGCAATGGGACAAAGCTATGAATTTATGTTTGCCCAAGTTTCCCGACTATCTGGTCAATTCTCAGACAATATTGAAAGACTGAGACCAGGAGGTATTTGCTATGACCTGGATCTGTGCTGACCATTTAGGTAATTGTAGTGAGTGAGAGTGAGAGTGATAGTGTGTTTGTGTGAGAGAGAGAGAGAGAGAGAGAGAGAGAGAGAGACAGAGAGAGAGAGAGAGAGAGAGAGAGAGAGAGAGAGAGAGAGAGAGAGAGAGAGAGAGAGAGAGAGAGAGAGAGAGAGAGAGAAAAAGAGAGAGAGAGACGAACAACACACTCAGCACAATCAACAGAAAACATTATCGTATGATCTATAATTGTGAATGGAATTGTCTTATAAACAGAATGCACCCCGTGATCACTTACTCTGCGTAGTAGCCACAACTTCGGTAGCTATATTAGGTCTGTTACGTCCAAAGGCTTGAAACCTGAGCGTGTAGGATACACCTGGGTTGAGGCCAGTTACGTTAAACTTTCCAGACGACCCGTTAAGAGTCAGTTCCAAGTATCGTCCAGTTGGCTGAATCTTCACAGTAACCCGGTCCACGTCAATGCTTCGGCAGTGGTACACACACGTATCATTATCAACCCTCCAGTCTACTTCAATCGACGTTTGTCCAGCTCCGAGAGCCCTAAACGATATCGGCTTAGGATAGTGTTCGGAACACCCTAGCGGGCGCTGATTGTAACAGCACTGATATTTAGGATAGGCTGCACATGGACAACATGACATGTAAACCACAGACATCCGTCAAAGCCTGTGTGACCGGTGCAAATTAATCTACATGTTCAAGGACTCCGAAATCCAGAGTCTGTGACAAATTCACATCAATTTTTGTACGACTTTGTGCTCCACGGCTTGGACTTTAAAGGGGCACTCCGGGAATTTTTTCGGTGGTGTGTTCTCTTCACGGGGGCCTTTTATGGTCCCCAAGGAATGGGGAATCGCGAAAACTAGACCCAAAAAGTCGATATATTAAGCCAGGGAGGGCCAAGTTCGTCTCCTCTTTTGATGGTTTTGATGACGTCACGTGTGATTAGTATTCAAATTCTCTGCATTTGAAGATCTTAGTTTTTTGAATTTTCTGGTGATGAAGAACGATGTTTGATCAACATTCCCAAGCTTCACAACTGCGACCATACTCTAAGGAACTTGAAGGACCTCCTGAGGTGCCTCTGGTAGAAGCGCAGCCTGATGAGGGCCAGGAAGTTGGAGCGGACGACTTCACTGGTCGACAAGGAAATAACGATTGGTGTTCCTGCCAGAAATGTGGGGTGATGCAGACGGCAGTGGATTACCTTTGCTGTCGAGAGAGCGCTGCAGCTGTTAGCATTGGCAGCCCTTTGACACGCGTTACACATCACCCCGACTTCGCGTCAGCTTGTCTAAACAAAACTGTTCTGACCATATGCCTCACGGTGTATAGAGAATTTCGGGATCCTCATACTCGGACCAGTGAAGTCCTCCGCTCCAATCTCCTGGCCCTCATCAGGCCGCGCTTCTACCAGGGGTTTTCGCGATTCCCCATTCCTTGGGGGCCATTTGAGGCCCCCATGAAGAGAACACACCACCGAAGAAATTCCCGGAGTGCCCCTTTAAGCTGCTTACTTTATTGTGCAACACCAAAGTAAGCCTTGATTGTATGCCGTGTATTAACTTCCTATAGTGAATGAAGCAGTACAGTGTTGAATGGTAAAGAATGTGTCATTCTTCGGACACCGAGTCGATTGATTTTGATCTAAAGAAGTTGTTATATTAGCCATTGTGCTCCCAGTTTGACATGCTCCAAAGTCTTTTTTATTTTGCATAGATACAGCAATGGATTCAAACTGGAAATCCTCGACAAATATTGAAATGTAGGCCCCTCGGTCCAAGACAATGCCACATAGCGCCCAGAAGGCTTCAAGTTCTTTTGAAAGCACCTAAAAATAACCTGAATGTAACAGGGGGATATCTCACATTTGCTGTGCGGCCCGAACCGTAGTTGATGTTATCACTTGGCCATTTCCTTCCGCCATGCTGGTCTTTTGTAGCTCTTTTAATCTCTTGTGCTTCTGTTCTGTTAAAGTCCTCTTCATTCGCTTCTCTACAGTGGTACCAATGTCATGAGGCCATTTGCCTAGTGTGGTTGCCACTCTACATACAATACAATACAATAATTATATTCACCAGCCTGAGTGGCTCTTAAAGAGAGCATAACTTACCAAAGTGCACTTCTATGGTAGCCGAGTAGATGAGTTGTGTTCTCCTGCGCATCTCACATCGATAGACACCATTAACCTCATGAGTGTAGTTCTGATAGTCGGAAGCTAGCATATCTGAGATTTGAAGTATTCTGTTTCCCTCCCCTAGTGAGAGCGTAGCTGAGCAATTGGGCCCGAGAGAAGTGATTGAGCGCAATCGACTGCCCTTGAAAAACCACTTTGTTCTGAGCGGCTCTTCTCCAATGGATCTCCCTGTGCTCCGAGTGTAAAACTCGGTGCAGTCGAGCGCAGCATGAAGTGGATAGGCGTGATCCACGGCAAGATTGTGTTGTCGAATAACAAGGCGGAATGAGCGACGGTCACTCTCATCATCAATACTTAGAGTTAGTGTCATGCTATTGATTTGATGTCCATGATATCCTGTAGTATGGCCAGGAGACAACAAAGTGAAAACACAAACCCCAAACCAGAAAATAGGTATAGTAGAATTGCTAAGCATGCACAAATGCACCGCTCCCCCTCTCTGTCAACACTCGTGTACGCTTCCTCCTCCCCCCCCCCCCATCCCCCTCTCCCCCAAACACATACGCACACACGTACACAAATGCAAATGCATACATAATACACACATGCGAGCACACACGTACACACTAGCATAATTGCACGACTAGACATGAAACTAGAGAACGGAATGCGAATCGCACAGTTCGGATGTGTGTGTGTGTGTGTGTGTGTGTGTGTGTTCGCATGTGCGTGCGTGCTACGGCTGGTCCACATATCGCCGCCGGTAGCGCATAATTGCATGCACAAACTCTTTCTCATGCAGGTACATGTAGATGTACATGTGGGACCACCGGACACTGACGATAATGAGAAAGACTCGGAGATACTCCGTCACTTGACAACGTCACCGGCCTGCCTAAGTAAGTACGTACTTGCAGTGTTTCAGCACGGATATTTATTGTCTTCGACAATGGTACAGTAGTGAAAAGACTGACAACATCAAAAGAACACATATGCACAGAAGCTGGGATTGACTTCTCCCGTAAGATTTCTACGAACTCGAAACTATCCTTGACGTTGTGTATACAATGATAATCCAGCCCAGGCTGAATCATCTCACACAGCCACTTGTACACGCGGTATTCGCCAGAACCAGTCGTAAACAGTATAGAACGCAGAGGACAACATTGTTTGTGAATTTTCGGTACCCCATACATCCTGGGTCGTACCGAACCTATTGGCTTTACTCGCAGACACTCAGACGCGGATATCTCTTTCGTGTCCTTCAGCATCTTAAGGTGTTTAACTAGTTGTTTCTCTCGGATAAGAGTTCGATCGTGAGCCATCACAGGACCAAGCTGCTCAAACTTGCTTCTGTCATCCAATATTGGGGCCATTTTAGACTTGCATTCTGTTCGACTTATGAGAAGAGTGGCTCAGCCCTTGTCCGGTCTCGTGATGATTACGTTTGCTCTCAATTCTAACCTGGCTTTCATGTGTTCTCTTGATAATGAAAATGTTTCTGATCAACCAGTTTATCAGCATGTTCCTCCGCTATAGCACGATGGTTAGCAGCACATACCGCTTTCTTCGATTGTGTTGCTGAGTTCGAAGTCCGTGAGTATTTGCTCTTTAATTATTAGATGTTGGCGGTATACCATAGTCGGTACCCCTAGAAAGTTGGTCCTTCTGGATTGTGGTGAGCTCGATGTTTGCTAGATTGATAATGGTGCTGGAGTCAATGGATACTGAACCGAAACATTTGTTTCTAAGCCATTAAGGTTCTTAGAAGATTTAGCAAGAAGTCGAGTATGTTGTTTGCAATCATTCTCAGCGACCAGCATTGAGAGGCGGAGAAAGTCATGGTTTGACAGAAACGTACGGAAATGATGATACAGACACCGAATTTGTGACTGTACTGTCCAATGCATCTGTAGATCTAGCTATGTCATCTCCAACGACTGTTTTCTCTATAGCCAACGACTGAAAGGCTTTGGCTTTCTGGACTATTCTGGATGGCGTGTGGGCAAACACCACACTACAGACATTGCTGGAGAAACGGTATAATTATGAGCAATGCACCTAAAGACATATTGCTTACGCAGCACCCTATTCAGACATTCTGTCTGATCGCACGTGCATCTCCGTTTAGAATTATGTGAATAATCGACGAAAATATTACTGTACTCACACTTCTTTTGTAATTATTTCACACTAAACCATTTTAAAATAGCAATGAAAAATATCAATTGTGCACTCATAACCATGTATAAACAATTAAAATGAAACAATTCCAGAACGTTTTCGTGTGACCATCATCAGTGGAACGTCGTCACATAGTAAGAATCACTAAAACAACCAGTTATATAGCTAGAGTAATATGAAACGAAGCGTGAGAATGCAGCACAGCTAGCGGTTATGCATAACGCGTGTAGTGTGAACCTTTGCAGTGTATCTGAGAATGGTAGCAGTAGATGAATGTGGCAGCTGCGAGTGCGTGTGAACAAAAACTGGTGAGTGCGTATTATTTAAAAAGTGTGAGTGCTACAACATTTTCTTTTTGCTTGCATAGAACAGGGTCACGTGTGCGAATATATACAGCTTCCAACACCTGCAGCTGCTTGTTGGAAGCTGTATATATTCGCACACGTGACCCTGTTCTATGCAAGCAAAAAGAAAATGTTGTAGCACTCACACTTTTTAAATAATACGCACTCACCAGTTTTTGTTCACACGCACTCGCAGCTGCCACATTCATCTACTGCTACCATTCTCAGATACACTGCAAAGGTTCACACTACACGCGTTATGCATAACCGCTAGCTGTGCTGCATTCTCACGCTTCGTTTCATATTACTCTAGCTATATAACTGATTGTTTTAGTGATTCTTACTATGTGACGATGTTCCACTGATGATGGTCACACGAAAAAGTTTTGGAATTGTTTCATTTTAATTGTTTATACATGGTTATGAGTGCACAATTGATATTTTTCATTGCTATTTTACGACTGTTGTCTCCTCGTCGGTTATTTAAACCATTTTACCAACGCATTTTCACATACATGTCTCAATATCACTATCTGACTGTACATTATCTCGTTACCTTGGTGGACTGTTAGTCATAACTAGTAACTTATAGGTTTTTGATATGTCTCGTTTTCGGCGTATTTTTCGGCCAGCCAATTTGGGGAGAGCCTATTGTATAAAACTTAGGGTACCCCGTAAGTAGACCCTAGGCCTGTGGGAATGCCCTATTCAATTTTTTTAAAATTTGAATAGGGCATTCCCACAGGCCAAAATAAATAATAATAATAATAAGGCCCCCTAGAATTAATTCGTTGTTTCGGGTCACTTCACTCATCCATACCAGGGTCGGTCGGTCGGGTTTATTTTTTACTTCCTCCGTATAGAAAAACTTCGTGACTTGCCGTGCGATCGGAACCGATTTATGTTCTCACGTTGCATATGGGGCCGCGCATCGCAAGTACGAACCTGGCCAGTTTCATGGCAGCGATCGATCGAGCGCTGCATGACTCCATGTTCCAGCCGCGAGCTCCACTTCGTCACGGTGTCAGTTTCGAACAAGTGTTAGTTTTTTTTCATTTGACTCGTGAGTTCCTGTCGGCAACGTCCTCACACGCATGGCTTCCGTGGAGAATCTGTTTTGGGTCAACCAAACCTACCTCGACATGAATGTGGGTTGTCGATGACATCCTTTGGCGCGGTTCGTTGAGCAGGTTCTTGCTCAAAAACACCGTTGAAAAAAAGGCACGAAGTTTTGTATACGGAGGAAGTATTGTATTTTATTTTGGTTATTGCATGCCATGCCCCATGTGCATACACAATATCGAATAGCTTTTGTCCATCAAGCCAGTCGATCAAATCTAGACGATCCAGCGCCTTCAGATCTAGGTCCCCAGATCTTGACCTCGCTAGCAAACGAGTCTGACGAGCAGCTCTCACCAGAGCGTCTGTCAATGAGCGACGCGGTGGCGGAGCTGATGCTGGTTAAGGACTGATCGCGGATCGGAGAATACAACGTCGTCACCAAGCGCTGCATCCTGTCATTTGGCTGCTTGTGACTCTGAGATTGATGTCTGGACTGCTATTATTATTTTTAGGGTCGCGTGTGTACACAGTCCTGTAGTCATGTACTTCCTCCGCGTCATCGAAATTGTCGCAGTTTGACTTTTGATATAAAACGGGGTATTTACTCACCAGCACCCGTACCAGAGGCAAGGAATGGGATATAGGCGATAGTCATCAGTATAGGGTGACGGTAAAAATCTATTTTCTGTTATTGGAAGCTGGAATTTTTGAACTAGACGCAATTTCTTCGCTGATGTCGCTGCGATGGTAATTTCGTCTCGCGGAGATCAGTCAGGTGTTGCAGCCTGCACATTTCTCGTGCTTATGGCCATTCACCCAAGCCTCATCACTGTTTTACCTTAGCTGGGGTGAGAATGACTTCGTGGAACAAGTGGCAGCGCTTGGAGAAACATCGAGGGGTCAGCAAACTAAATGCCTGCAACAGCGATAAAATTTGTCGCTCTGGCTGAGACACTCAGTACATGATTGTACCTTAACTTATCTTTGATATTTTTGACCCACCCAAGTTGGGTGGTGTGCTGCTTTGCTGCTTCGAATTGTAGTTAGACCACTTTGTCAAATCGCCTACTGGTCTTGTCATCATCAGGAATGGATGCAAACTATTCAAGTGCAATGAAGCTGCATGAAGCATCCTTCAACATTTTGAAATAAGGCCATGGTAAAAATTATTTTTGATTCTCAAGCACACACGCACCGATTTTTGGCGGCGCACCGACGATTTTTTTAAATTCCCATGCATGCATATGCACACATGCGCGCATGAAAACAGTCAATGCGAAAGGCATGAATCAGGGAGTAGTAAAATACCGGTATTTTTCTACTCCATGGCCTGAATATTATGAACATGTGACCATGTACATATGTGTGACCCTATCTTTGGAAATAAAAAATTGTGGGAAAAAATCGCTTGCTCGCACCGATTTCCACAGGTTCATGACTTGAGAATCAACTTTATTTTTTACCATGGCCTAATAATAAAGCCTGAGGTTAATTCACTTGCAATGGTCAGCTCTCCCAAAATTGAATGTTGCGTGGGTACCAACCAACAGGCCTACGCATAACTGGAGAACAAATTCTTACCCAGATGGTAAGGACGATACGGTGTGCTGCCCTTCAGCCATGAATACAAAGCATTGGGTCTGCTCCAGTCAGTAGGAACGTCAGACCATCCCAGTGCCGTCTGTGAAATCAGCAGTAAATACAACAGTGCCAAAGCCAGCAAGGACGGAGTTCTTGTTCCTCCATTCAAGTTCGTCCGAGCTGTTTCGCTGGGCTCCGCTCGCCGGTGACCAACAATGCTACCGTCTCTCATTGTCATTTACACACTCCACTATGTCTAGTATGGGCTCAAGGAAAGGGTATGGTCCTATGGTCCAACCGTACATTGACCTTTTGCCGGCGAGGTGACCACTTAGACCTACGTCACGTCGTCGAGTAGAATTATTATGCTCCTTCAACCAGTGCAGTGGGCACAATGAATTATTTTGCAATGAGTCGTTCTGTTTCGTTGGCGTGCTGAAATCGTACCTTGTCTTCCGGAGCGACTGCTTGAGAAGTAAAGTAGTTTGTCGAGGATTTCGTAGATCTACGAATGAGAGAGACGTGTCCATTATCCATCCATACCAGTAGCAGCGTTTGCTACGCTAGGTGTGTGGTGAAGAGTCCATGGACCATGGAGTGAAATGCGAAATGAGTGGGCGGCTGCAGAAATAGGCAGATCTGTACACACGGACTGTGCGAGTGCACCGCAGAGACCCGGCAACGATGTCTAAATATCATACCTGGCATCCCTCCGATGTCACTGAATCCCCAGCACACCGCTCGCCTTGCATTGTTACCAGAGTCTCCATGGGCTGAAAGGTGACAGGTCGGTCATGTCTGTCACGCACAATTGACACCTTTTCCCAACAGACGTCTGGACGCAGGGGAATAGAAGACCAGATCGTCAATGCAGATGAGTCAGCTGAGCTCATGAGCCTGCATCGCCAGCCCGTGCCACGACGTGTATGGGCTCTTGGACTATCCACGCGTCTACAGTCTGCGGTCTAGTCTGTCTACTCGAGCTCAGCTGTCGGACTATGTCGAGTATGTGCTCCCGTTAGTACATCTACTACTGCCGTGGACATGGAAATCCGGTCGCACGGCTAGCTGCCACAGGGCGCTGGCCATGCAGCCGTAGCATATACGCTGCTAGATGCTGGTCGCATAGGCCAGGATCAACATGATTGTGCACTGCATGCAACGACTTACGTTCTGCACGCGCTGAGGGCGCCGGCCCCGGTCAATCGACTGGATTTCCATGTCCGCGACAGTAGTACGACTCTGCCACCAACACTAATCTGTTTGCGCCACAGCAAACACTCATCACTCATCACTACAGACTATGAGTCGAGTATGAAGCTGAGGCCCTGTCTACGTGGCCTCAACGGACACTGTGATTTGTGCCGCTTTTCCACACTCAGTAGTCTTCGACAGTGTGGTTTTATGTCTGCCGAGTCACATCCAATGCCTGCAAGCAGCTGCTTGCAGCTGTTACATACGCGTAGCCGTATTTATGACAGCCCTGGATCCACCTCCTGGAACAGCCAGCTACTAACGAATTACCTGCAGTAACAAGAGCGGTGGGATCTACTGGATAACAGTATTGAATGTCTAGTGTGAGGCCGCGAAGGGCGCGTTCGAATTGTCACTCTTTGACCTTTCGGGGAGCTTCGTTTTTCTGAAGAGGTGGCCTGATTGGCCTCTTCAGAAAAACGAAGCTCCTCGAAACTCCACAACCTCACTCGATGAGAGAGGTGGATTAGTTTCGAAGAGTTTGGAATAGCTACGTCACGTAGTGCGTGGAGATGCTCGATCTGATCGGACGTCATCATCGCCATGAAAATTCCACTGAAAAACTCTAAAAATGATAGAAACCGTTCTATTGGGACACTTCAACTAATCTCTTTATAAAATATGTTTGAACAGTTGATGAAGACAATTCGAACCCGCCCTAAGTTAATTAACTCAAATACGTCTTTTGGGTAGCCGCCTCAGCTCACATTTTGCGGCTATCCAGTATATCCGCCGACATGTTTCGGTCTACGTATTCAGGAACGTGATAATGGAAACAATGAGCAATGAAAATGACCTTTTCCATTGAGTGAGCCCACCTCTTCAAAAAGTGAGCTAAAATCACCACACCACTGCCTTACACTAGCCCTTGCCCCTAGGTGGATATAGTGCCGGCCGGCAGACAAATTGGCGGAATGTGGTAATTTGCCTGTTACATTTCATGCATGATTGGTATGTGAATACAGAAATGGAGCAGAATTCAAGGAAGTGCCTGCCCTGAGGTCTGTATGGTTCTGCCAGTTTCACTGCTTTTCGAGCAGAATCCCTCTGATTTCAGCCGTGGTTGGTTTCCACACTTCGTCTCATTCTGACTACTGGTAGTCTTACGGGGAGCCAGGAGATGTTGTATAAATAGAATCTGCCAATTGTTTCGAGCGTTATCCGCCAATGGCTATTTTACACTTTAATGTCGATAGCCTGTATCCAGGCTCCGGACTATTGACATTGCAATGTCAGAACTTGCTTGTGATGATTGAGATCCATTATGATAAATTGGCTGCAGTGGACTTTCCCATATTAGGCCTTGACGGATTATGCTAATATTTTCGTGAAATTATGCTTTTCGCATTGCTGAAAAAATTGGAGAATTATGCTATTTTTATGCTAAAAGTTATCATATTATGCCGCATTATGCTCACATATGCTGCTAATGCATAATGGTTCTGTGCAAAATAACAAGGGAATTTTTTTGTAGAGGGCGTTGTACTGTAATTGCAAAAGTTCAACGGGGTCAACGCACCGTCCGACCTAGCTACGACCATAGGGTTCCCTGTAACAAGACGGCAACGTCTGTAGGGCCTTCCCTATCAAAATAATAAATTCTACTACTACTACTACTACTACTACTACTACTACTACTACTACTACTACCATCACTGATTGTAGTGGACTGGACATGTTATCAAGGGAGTCGTAAACCTACAACTTCCTAGTGCATCTACATTGTACTTGTACTTGTAGAACATGTACAACTGTATGGAATTTGATGCGAACAGGCGGATTATTACAATTTTATGCGATTCTTATGCAATTTGCCTCGAATTATGCGATTATTCGATTTTGGTAGGAATTATGCGAAAAATTATGCTAGCATAATCCGTCAAGGCCTATCCCATATTGAAGGCATTATCAGGCAAATTTGAGTTGTGCACACCAATTATAATTTTGTAGTACCGCTATGTGTTTATGGACTGGTAATGCCTCTGGCGCCTTCAGTTTATCGTAATCAAAACAATACTAAGTTCAACTCGGATGGTGAGCCAATTAAATTATTGTGAAAAAGGATTGCACACCTGATGAGCCGTCATGACCTATACGGCGAAACGTACATGTAGATCTACGGCGTGTGCAACTACTTGTTATTGTACATAACTAGTCCATCATACATGACAGTGGAGTTCAGTAGGATGTTGACGTTTCGGTTTGTCACAATTCGTCTTCGCCTAGCTTCCCTTTTCTATGTTTATTACATAAACTTGAGCCTCCCAAGTTGGGTGGTCCGTTGCTTTGCGTCGTCGAGTTGTAGTAAGGCCGGTATATCCAATACTGAATAGTCTTACTAGTTTCGTCATCATCCAGTAACTTTCGGCATTCTTTGTTGCCGTGATGCGTAGCTCTTGCTCTTCTTCGTTGCGCTTTCCTTCCCCTCTTAGACCTTTCCGAACCCGAGCCTTCCAAGTTGGAAGGTTGTTGGTTTGCGCAGTAGTGCATTAAAGTAACTAATATTAGGTTTCGAGTGAGTGTACGATGTGATGATTGCCCTAGGGACCTCGCCGTCCCAATGTGACTCTACTAGTATGCACCAGCGCTGCGTGTCCTCGAGCCCACATAACAGTCTAGGCTGTCACCTCGCACAGTTGTGCCATGCATCATCGTCTGTTACAGGTGTGCCATGCATCATCGTCTGTTACAGGTGTGCCATGCATCATCGTCTGTTACAGGTATCATTATTATTATTATTATTATAATATATATACAAATAGGCCAAAACAAATAATGACCTTGTTTCCGGTCGGCCGACCGGGCCATTTTTTCCCAAATTCTGAAACTTTTTTTGGTCCCAAATGTATACAAACGGTGGCAATGCCATGTGTGCAAGTGCACCCAACGAGTCATAACTCAGTCAAATCTCAACCGAATTCCACAATCGAAACACCTACAAGGTAGCAGAGATTCTCAGCTGTTGACTCGAAAACCTCCAGGGTCGATACGAGCTAGAATAACGGAGCTGGAAGGACTCGAACTGTTTGCTTGATTTCTCAGGATGTACGAAAACAGGAATACACTACATAAAAGTAAAAAAGTAAATTATCGTATCCGTTCCCGAAGGGAACTCACGACGGCCGCTAACACCCGATAAACCCTAGCGGCAGATGCAGCGCCTAACGGTGGGGGTGAGTGGGTAAGTCTCACAACCACTGGCACAAGAGCCGAAAACGACCCCATTAGCTGCATCCATGTACCCCTTGTGCCTGGCCACAAGTTCCCAGTTGACTGTGGGTAGCAGCACGGCTGGAAAAACCGCTCCCAGGCAGGACTTGAACCAGGTACCTCTCGTATCTCAATCATGGTCTTTGACCAACCCACTGTGCCTGCCTGGTTGGAATACACTACATGATGTACAAGAACAGTGAGTCAGTCAACTTTGACATTGATCCTTGCCATGATAGATGTACAATGTACATGTGTGGGTGCTCTTGTCCATCAATACCACAACGATTGAAGAACCAAAAAAGTATCCAAAAAAAGTTTCATTCCGGCCGACCGAATCTCCTTTTTGAGGGGTTGCCGACCGGAAACAAGCCTATTTTTTTGTTTTGGCCTTATACGCATTCCCGCGGCAGCGTCAACCAAGCAGTTATGCTTGATCCACACGTTCGCTTATGCTGGACATTGAAACAAAGCAGATGTAGACAGCTCCTAGAGAATGGGGCTCTACAAAACCAATGATCGAAGTTAGTCCTTCAGTAACATGGAGCGTCATAAAATTGGTCTCATTGGAAAAATGTCATCACTATTGTCTCCTCATGTAGCATCATGGTCAATGGGTGGGCAGATAATTATACGTATGAGGTTGAGTTGCCAGATAATTATTAAAAGATTCAAATAGTAATATTATTATAGAATGGTTGTTATGAGTTTATAAGGGTGCCATGGCTGTTTCTACTCGTGACGAGGGTGTGCACAAACACTCTTCACCAGCGCGTTCCATGCTGGACGGTCCACAGCAATCCGCTCCAGACGGCGCAAGTCCTCAACACTCCGCAGGTGCCCATTGTTCGACTGGGACAGATCGGTGTGGAGCTTTATTGGTAGTGTCACCCTCGGCCTCCCACGGTACCTCCCCTCGGATGCCTGAAAGTATTGCTCCATGCTCAATCGTGCTGGCGTGTCCATACCCAGGCGAAGCACATGCCCGAATAGACTCCAGCGTGAATTACAGGTGTGCCATGCATAATCGTCTGTCTCCTCTAGTCTAGTATCAGTACAATCAGGGTTGTTCCAATGCAATGGTGTGTGAATAGCTGAATGCACTGTGTCTTACAAGTAGGCGGTTTTATACTAACCACAACTGCGTTTGTTACTGGACTGCGTTTCACGGCAAGAGATTCTCAGGAAAGCAATATCCAACCATACCTAGTACCTGGCATACAGACAAACGAGACGTGAAAGTACAATGTACATGTTTGTGCAGAGAATCTCATGAGATGTAAAGATGGTTGCTCCCCACACTGACACTGTGGATGGCGGTTTTTCGCCGGCGTGGCACTTGACTGGCTCACGACTGCCATCCAGAGCACACGATCGAGACATCCAGAACCTTAGTAACTTGATATTCCTTAGGCTCGGCAAACCTGCAAGAATCTCAGATTCACTACTGCTTTTCGGTTCAACATCCTTTGTGTTACTGGGTTTGCATTGCTGCATTCTCTATTTTTTTACCAATTTTTATATTTATCTATTTTATTAATTTGAAACTCGGATGTTGAGCCATAAATAAATGTGGAAGAGAAAAAAGACATATGGATACGAGTTAAGAGTAACTCTCCATCACTGTAACATGATACTATATACAGTCAGAAAGTGCAATAACTAGGCACAAAACTGACAGAGTACTGAAACATTCGACGTCCTGACACCTAGCTTCAACACATCTCCGTAGCGCTAACCGACAGCCTTCCAACTTGGAAGGTTCAAGGTTATGGAAAGACCAAAGAGGGGAAGGCAAGCGCAACGAAAACGAGCAAAAGCTACAGTCCCAACGGAACAAAGAATGTCGATTGTTACTGGACTGGTCGGTTAGCGCTACGGAGATGTGTTGAAGCTAGGTGTCAGGACGTCGAATGTTTCAGTACTCTGTCAGTTTTGTGCCTAGTTATTGCACTTTCTGACTGTATATAGTATCATGTTACAGTGATGGAGAGTTACTCTTAACTCGTATCCATATGTCTTTTTTCTCTTCCATATTTTATTAATTATTTTACTTCGAAGTATTTATTACAGCATCTCATAGCACAGTGAGAACACCGGCCAATACAAAGAGAGAGGGTGTTAGCCAACCACGGCAAGGAAGGGAGAAGGGGAGGAGAAGAAAAAGGAACCGGCATGGATAAGCAGTGATTGCAACAAAATGAGAAACACAAAATCAAAGTCAAGGCGCGACAAGGCTCTTAAAAAGGCGCAGGGAAGAAAGGTCCTTAGCTTCTTGGGGAAGTGCCAGCCACGCAGAGTACGCAATGAAAATGGGAGAGTGAAGTAGAAAGGAGGACTTAGGTTTCGGAAGGGAAAGGGAGTTTCTCGTGCTACGGGAAGAGAACCAGTTCAAACAGTGGAGGTGAGGTGGACACAGATTGAGTTTGAGAGAATGGATAAGGGTGACAAGATGTGAATTACGTCTCTTAGACAAAGGGGTAGTGTCAGCAAGGGCATAAAGGGTGGAAGATGGAAGCATGCGGGGTTTTCGGAGGAGGATTTTGAGAACTTTTTTGTGGTGAATTTCGAGCTTGGCAGCACGGGTTGTGGAAATTCCAGCCCAATCAGTATCTGCATAATCAAAAATGGGGCGTAGGTAAGCTGAGTGAAAGAGGAGTTTACAAAAGATTGGGAGATGGTAACAGTGAGAAGAGAGAATTCCTAAAGATGAACTTGATCGTTTACATAATTACAATGTATGTAATCAATGTGGGGTTCCCATGAAAGATTAGAGTCAATGAAAATGCCAAGATGCTTATGGCTGGAGACTATGTTTATAGGCTGGGGGGAAAGTGGGATGGAGGAGGGGCGGAACATCGGGCTGAGAAGGAAAGAGCATGATTTTAGTTTTAGACAGATTGGGCGATAACCGCCAAGACGACATCCAGGAAATTACTCTTTGAATCCCGTTAGCTAGGTTACTCATCAGGCCAGTGATGTTAGGAGATGCCCGTAGGAGCGTTGTGTCGTCTGCGAACAGTGATGTGCCCGGGGCAGCTGCGAGCAGATCATTGACGTATAAAATATAAAGAAGGGGGCCGAGGATGGAACCCTGGGGAACTCCGGATAGTACTGTTGTGTCGGCCGAGGACGTCCCATGTACCGTGACGCACTGCGTTCGCCCAGTTAGGTAAGATGTCAGCCATAGCAGGGGATTGCCGTCTACAGTAAATGATCCACGAAGCTTGGCCAAAAGCCCCCGGTGCCAGACGGTATCGAAGGCCTTGGCAAGATCGAAAAAAACAGATCCCGACTAGATCTCCAGCATCCCGATGTCGACACACTAATTGCACCAGGCGCGTCAGCTGGAGGGTGGTAGAATCGCCTCTGCGAAATCCGGACTGAGCTGAACTCAAACGTGACGAGACATGACAGTACAATTGGTCATTTCTATGAGCAGGCAGTGCATTGCATGACTCTCAACTGTCATCCAGATACATGTACATTTTCAAAGTGTTCATACATGTATAATGTATATGTATTTGTAAATGTCACATCTTACCGAGACCAATATAATTATTATGTTGGATAGCATCATGCTGTTGAGAGGGCAGGGCAACCACTAAGCTGAATTAGCTGATACATGTTCATGTACACAGCCTTTCGCCTCTGTTGTGTGTGTACATGTACATGTACATGTAGTACATGTACATGTACACACATTCAACACTTTAAGTCAATCATTGTGGTCATGTGTTCGCAGACTGATTCTGGATTAATATCTTCTTGAAATGTTCTGTCAATCTCAACACTGACTGAGTAAGATTAGTCACTCTAAGTCATTGCTGCTGATACTCATGCTGCGGCTGCTGCGGCGTTGACATTGCTGCTGATACTGCGGCTGCGTTGACATTGCTCCAAACTTACAATGTACATCTACTTGCATCTCACCCGCTGTCTGAGAAGAAGTCAGGAAGTAAGGTGACAGTGTAGAGGAGCACAATCTGATCCTATAATATGTTATTGAATATCACTTCTCACAACCACACCCAACCCACCGTACATGTACATATACATGACTCATGAGTAACATGACCTACACGTACATGACTCATGAGTAACATGACCTACACGTACATGACTCATGAGTAACATGACGTACATGTATGTCAATAGCTCTTCCCAGTGAGGTGGATCACACATACATGTACAATCATGTACATGTATACGATGATGTATGCAAAATTAATACGTGTAGTTCCGCAATACGCCAATAGTGAGGCAGATCACACTGGAGCTCATTCTGGTGAGTCTGGTTGTCTGAGAGGATGCACCTCAGACCACATCCTTCCTCAAAGGTAGCAGAATTCATGGGAATCGCGTCACTATCAGGTAGGTACATGTATATAATGTACACACACTTGAGAGGGACGAAAAGCGTTTCTTCTGTAACTCTGAGTTTCACGGTTTTAACCGATCATCAGACAGCAAAGTGTGTGTACTAGGCTCTGCACCTTGGTGTATTGAGCACTCTCACGAGCAACCACAACTCCCTCCGAGTTTGTATATATAATGTACATGTGCATGTACACACTAGTCAGAACAACAGATGGCTTGATCAGTCACTTTGACTGATCAAGCCATCTGTTGTTCTGACTAGTGTGTAACGGCTCTACCTTCCCGGTATCGAGCTCTCTTGGATTTCTGCTGGAATTCACAACACTGTAGGTACATGGACATGTACATGACTGTACACTAGTAGTGATTGGCCCATTCCAAGGAAACGGTCATGTGCAGTCTTGTAATATGTTGGTCTTTCAGATAAAACAGACCTTTGTACTTAAATCTCTCCCAAGTAAAACCACCTAAACTCCGTCATGGTCCAGTGCTAGTGATGGAGCCTGCCGGCTGGGGATACCCCGGAGGTCCAGGTTGCGATCGATCACGAGTAGCACTGCTGGGGATACCCCGGAGGTCCAGGTCGCGATCGATCACGAGTAGCAGTGGATCAAGGTCGCGCTGGTGTCCGGGTTTCGGCTACTGACAGGAAAAGACTACAGCTGGCGAGCAGGCAGATCAGGCTTGCTGCCGACATACGCTCACTTTTGGTCAAGCGATCGACCGCCGAATGCGTGGGTGTTGACGGGCAAGCGCGCTTTGCAGATCTTGCTCGACAATCGACGACATGGTCACATGGCTACACTGGGGTGTAGGGGGGTGTGATGTGCAGTCACCGTGGTCACAGTCATGTACTGATCTGAGTAGTAGCTGCACGCTTGCGGCTTGGTGTTACAAATGAGTCTGGACTGTAGAGAGTGCAGTGCCAGCGCTGAGTCGGGTAGCAGGCCAGCTCTACCGGTAGTTCGGTCCCGCATATGCGCATGCATGCAGGCTGCAGTAGGTGGCCCAGACACACTGGAAATAATTCTCCTTCCCGGAAATAATTCTCCTTCCATTGAAGCGAGGAAAGGCAGCAAAGAGTGGCAACGGGTGTGATTTGCACACCACGCGACTGCAGAGTCGAGTTGTAAACGAACTGGGATGAGCAAGCGTGTCGCGAAGGTGATACTGTAGACTCCGTATACGCGTAGCCTGTGATCAGTGTTACTAGTGTTCCGTGAGGAGTGAAGTCTAGCTTGAGCGCCACGGAGGTCATTGTTGTCCATGCAACGATCCATACTAGAAGAGAGAGGGAGACGAGAAATGGACTGATAGAAGCCGAGTTGCCATTTGAGCACACCTCGGCGCTCTGAGGGAAGAGTGCACCTCTTCTTGTGTTTCGATCCGTGCTCCAGTCTCGTGGCGTTGGAACAGCTGAAGACGACCATGGATGCAATTGGAGGTGAACGGCGCTGCCGGTCCGTTGCTAGCTTGTACCGTGGAGCAGCACATGGACGGTTTGGATTGGTCTCTCTTCTCCTTTGCCTGAGCTTCGCGACCTGTTGTATGGCAAACAGCCAAAAAGTGTACAATTATGCAAAGGGCGGCAACGAGAATTGGAATTGGACTCCAACCAGACATTTATACCAGGGTAAGGCATAGAGTCGAGAGAGTATAGCGCTCATGGTTTTAACCCTATTTTCATTTTGACTGAAGCCATTTGGGCCTGGGCCCTGGCATGCCAGGTTTACCTTGTTTACGGTTCCTGGAGTGTCTGAAAATGTCTCCTTGTTGATTCACGAAACAGAAACCGTGTCACTGTATTGTAGTTTGAGGAGAACGTTGAAGTCCACATGGTCATTGGTCAACCCAGCGTATGACTCATGAGTGTATTGTGTGAAACTGCTGCTTGTGTCATCACTGACTTACCCGGTAGTCCTTGCATGGTCCAGGAGCATGCATGGTCTCTCAGACTCTTCTGGATCGACCACTCTCTTATGGTTGTTGCTTGTTGGAAACCGCTGTTGACGTTGGTCCGAGCGTGTTTCTTGGTTGGCTTGTTCGAAGGATGTATTTTGGCGATGCATGCCACTGGCTCGTGCATCCTCTTAGTTTTGCGTGCGTATCATAGATGATAGATGATAGAATGCAGAGGCACTAGAGCCGCTAGAGGAGTGCTTGTGCCTTTCGCAGCACCGTCGCATGGATGTGTACGTGTGTAGTGTGGTGATGTCGACTGTGAAGTAGCGTCTTTGTCTTGGTCAGTGTTTCCGCTTTTGTTCCGTTCCAATGCCACTGTCGACTGTCCGTGCACTGACCCTGTCTGTAGGTTGTTCTGTTCTAAACTAAGGTTCGTTGAGTAAACTACTTGTAGGCTGTGAAACACGCTCCGAGCCAGACTCTTCGTGTATGAGTAATACTATAACTCCGATACACCAGCCCTGGTACAGTGGTAGTAGCAGTATGACATTGTTATGATACTTGGTCCGTAGATCTCTGTCTCTCTGCTTCTTGTGAAAAGTCTGAAAACGACAAGAAGAGGTCTTTATCGATGCTGTTATGCTACTGGTACTAGTACTAGTATAATAGCACTCTGCCTCTGGCACTCAACACACCCAGTCACTAGTCTGTGTACAAACTGACTTTTGACCGATTCTGTTGCTACTATGTCCCAGAAGTACATGACTGTCCAAGATTTCACAGTCCATAGATCTATGCTCTGAAATGTAGATCTACTGTACAAGAACAAAGTACAAGTCATGTAACAGTGGAGGAGAGATACACTGATATGCAGGCTCACCAAACCACAAATTGCACAAGTCAGAGACTATGTGTTGCGGAGAGGACGACCTTGGCATCCTGGCCTGTCTATGTTTGGCCGGGTCTGCAGCTGAATCCCGGATATCCGAGTTTGGAACCTCGTGCAGCACTCTCACTCAATGTTTATTTGTAGGCTCTGATCAACTTACTGCTTGCACAGAATCAACATGTGTTGGCTTGGCGAAGCAAAATACATGAAATTGTTTGTGACAAAATCGTATCCTGGATGTAAAACCTTTAAATGGTGTGTGTAAGGGTCAGAAAAAGAGCACGGTTTATAAAACCATGATGTGGCCCTAACACCTCCGCTCTTCACCCCGTCTCAATATACAGTCTTGTGATAAACGCACGAATATTTACACAATCTTTGGGCATAGTCATCCTTAGACTGCATACGTTTTAAGTTTCAACCTCACAAAATATCGACAACTTGCGAATAATGACATCTTTCTCATGCGCGATAAACGGTCGTTGTTTGCAAGCTTTCTCTTTATCTCTAAGAACCCTACCTTTCCAAGTTTCCAGTTGTTAGTTTACATCTCTGTGAAAAATACGGGTATGGTACAAGTGCAAATAGGTATGTTTGCCACGAATATATCTTCATCCTTTTCATCCCCAGAGTGTTAAGATGACAGTACGATGCAGGACTCGAAGTGCTGCTTCCATCCACTGTGAACGCTCAAGGTCACTTGCAAAGGAACTTTGTGACTAGAAGAAGTGCATGCCATTTAGAGTAGCATGAAGGGAGGCAAACTATCTACTTGTAATTGAGCAGTAGGTGGCAAGTTGCTGGAATTTGTGTGTTGATTATCCAATCTACAACATATCTTTGTCAATGTTCCATACTGCCCCAAGTAGTCCCCCCCCTCTTTTCTCTCTCTCTCTCTCTCTCTCTCTCTCTCTCTCTCTCTCTCTCTCTCTCTCTCTCTCTCTCTCTCTGTCCCCCTGCCTCTTTCTTTCTGCATGGATCGCTCTCTGTATATGGGTGTATACAAGAACGAAGCTCAGGAATGTGTATGTGTGTGTTGGGGTGTGGGTGGGGTGGTGGCGTGTGGTGCACCACAACTCCTAGGCATTGCTCTTGCCCCACTATAGTTCATGGAACAAATTGTAACTTGGTTTGTGCAGCTCGGCTGTAAGTGATGTGGCTACCTTCGTCCTACAAAAGTAATTTGCTGTTTGTAATACTAGTAGGCTATTGCGTAGATCCAGTATGTGAAAGGATAGCATAGCTGGTCACAATATGGTGCCCATCAAATGTCACAGAAAGGTGTTCTCTGAACTCCTTACTCCTCCCAGGCATACCTGGCATAATGTCTCAACAACTCCCCATTAGTCTGTGGCCAAAATGAAACGTTATAATTATCTTTGACATTGCGCACTTAAAATTATATCATAACTTAGGCTTTCTGCAGTGGCTGGTGTTTCCATGGTTTTGGCTGATGACTGGTGTTCAATGATCCAAGTGATACTTCTGTGCAGAGGGGTGCACGGAGACAGTCTGTGAGAAGTCCCATCTAGTGGCAGTAGTGGCTAGTACTCAAGGTTCAATAATTAGCTAACAAAGTGGGGGGTAGTGATTGAACCGTACTGTTGAAAGGGAACACAAAGGAACCCAGCACAACTGGTCCTTCAACGCCTTTCAAATTCTCATGTTACCCATTCCCCGTCTGAAGTGGCCCTGGGTGTGGTGAGGTTCTGGTCTTCCAGCATCCTGGTGTGGGGGTGTGGGATGGCGTTCTGCATGCAAGGATCACGGCCACTGCATTCTCCGGTCTCCAGTCCTTATCTACAGCATGAAGTGACAATATGCACAGGTGTTCCTTACTGCTAGTACTCACCTTCCAGCCTTTGTACTGGTAAAGCTAATCAGTGACAAGTAAATCAAACATTGGAAAATAATCCCTGGGGTGCTGTGATGGGCCACGTTCAGATCTGGTTCAGTGGTTCAGTAGTAGAATTAAAGGGGAAGTTAAGGCAAAAATTAAATTTTACCAGTTGTAATCTTCGGGGTGCTGAGTCGAATGGTCTTGGTCCGAGAAAGCTGAGACGCTCCCTTCCTACTTGAATCCCAATCGAACTCGCGCACTTCCACCGAAACTGGGTGACTGCGCCCTACTAGATGGGGATTTGTATGCAAAATGTCACTAAAAGCGCCATTTCGTTCTTATAAAAGCACGGATGACCGCGATTGGCCCATATGTTGTAGTCTTTTGGACGCTGAGTCGACTGGTTTTGGTCCGAAAAGGCTGCGATGCAGCGTTCCTCCTTTATTCCCAATCGAACGTGGTTGAAGAAGCGGTCACGTGCTCCTGGGTGCCCAAATCACCTGGTCACCACGCCAGCAGGTGACAACTTTCACACCAAGGTTCAATTCGAGTGACAGGACTGCACCCAAAAAAGGTCAAACAGGCTAGTAAGTTGTACCCTGCAGGCACGGTGACCAGGTGACTGGCGTACGCAGCAGCACGTGACCGCTTGTTCAACCATGTTCGATTGGGAATAAAGGAGGAACGCTGCATCGCAGCCTTTTCGGACCAAAACCAGTCGACTCAGCGTCCAAAAGACTACAACATATGGGCCAATCGCGGTCATCCGTGCTTTTATAAGAACGAAATGGCGCTTTTAGTGACATTTTACATACAACTCCCCATCTAGTAGGGCGCAGTCACCCAGTTTCGGTGGAAGTGCGCGAGTTCGATTGGGATTAAAGTAGGAAGGGAGCGTCTCAGCTTCCTCGGACCAAGACCATTCGACTCAGCACCCCGAAGACTACAACTGGTGAAATTTTTTAATTTTTGCCTTAACTTCCCCTTTAACTTGGGTGTTGGTTATCAGTTACTAATTGAAACCGTGTGTACTGGTGTGCCCCACCACCTGAGCCGGTCAGTTGGGCAATAGGCAATGTGTAAGTAGTTGCATTGCATTATCCCCCACCATGGCTGGTTATCGCCCTCATCTCGGGGGTTGCTCCCCACATTAGCAATGCGTGCATATGCTACGAGATTGAGTTTAATAATAATGGTGTACTAGCTGTGCTAGTACTTGTTAGCAACAATCCGAACTAGCGCACACACTGCACTGCATTGCTTTGTACTGCATTCAAGACTATATAGCAGCGAGTGGTGTCTGGGGTGGGCGTTTTGACCGCACTTTCTTCGACGTACGGGTTTTTAACCCTTTCGCGGCTTCAAATCGCTCCACCTCAGTACCCTCCTGCTACCAGCGCCACGAACGGGAGAAACGCCGCTGCTATGAGGAGCGTGTTCGAGAGATCGAACATGCAACTTTTTCACCTCTCGTTCTCTCCTCAACAGGCGGCATGGGCAAGTCGGCAACAGCCTGCTATAAGCGGATTGCCGGGCTCCTGTCCGACAAGACGAAGGAGCCGTACAACCGTGTAATGGCGTGGATTCGCTGCCGACTTGGCTTTGCTCTGGTTCGCTCCAGCATGGTTTGTTTGCGTGGTGCTCGGCGACGCCCCATGCGCGTCAGCGATGTGGCGGATGCATCTGCTACCTTGGCCGTTGCCGAGGCCCGCTGCCCTGTGTAACTGACTGCAAGTGGTTCCTAAATCAGTTCCTATTCCTCATTGTTGCTTCTTTTTTCCCCTCTAGTTTTCTTTTACGGTATTATGATTTCACGGAGAAGGCGGAGAGCCCGAACGTGTGCAGTTTTATGTTTATTATTTGCCATGGCGACCCCCATAAGTCCAAATAACTGGCAGGGCAGGGTTGGGCCTTTTTCTTTCTTCTCGGATTTATTTTCATGACATGCTCACTGAGGAGTAAAATGAAGTTTTTTATTATTCCCTTATGCAGATTTTTTTTTTTTTTTTTTTTTCTCAAACCATGCCTCTTGTACGGGCAAAACATAAAATAAAGACAATCAATGAATAACAAAAAAAAAAAAAAAAAAAATTCAAGACTAACGTCATGCGCTTTGTTTTGCTGCGTAATCACAAATGGCACCAGCCCATTTTTGCGGAAAAGAAAAACAAATCTTGCTTGCCCTGTTGTGCTCTTCCGGACAACGGATCATGCTTCAGCAGTGTTTCTTTTCCTTTCGTAGCTTTGCTGCCAGCCCGAGTGTCACCTCGACACTGTATTTCTTCAGTATGTCTGACCTTACTGTCGACACTGTCAAGGCAATGCCTTGCCAAGCCCTCCGCGGCGAGCCTTCTCAGCGCGGCTTGAATCCGAAAGGAAACTTAGTAAAAGTATTTTACAGGACCGTTTGCTGGCACAACTAGCCCTTGGTAGTGAGGTCTGCTCCGGCCAGTGGAACCAGCAACATGACAGTGCGGACACGGCTCGCGAGCCCAGAAGCCCGACGTGCACCAATGCCTCCTCCGCCAGCTCAGGTGACGCGGGCTCATCAACGGATCTCTGCGCTCCCGTACGGGACGAGGTGTAGTCGGCTTTGTCGGCCGCCATTTTATCATTATCGGAGAGCATTGTGCCGCTCCTCACCCAAGGCCAAGGCAATGCGGCAGCTGCCGCCACTACGCCAGGCCAAGCTCCTGTAACCCACCCGATCAGCCACCTGCACCAGCTGTGCCCAAGGCTGTGCAAGAACGTATCTTGCGAGGGGAGTTCGTAGATTTTTCAAGTTTGTTGCCTGAAATTCTTGCACACTTCCGGCCCAACATTCCGGCTGGTGCACAGCCCGAATAACGATAGCCAGCTAAATATCGTTGAGTCGGATGACGCGAAGCAGGTGCGTCGCAAGGTTCACGATAATTACACATGTAGCTACCCGGCTCGAGGCATGGACCACATACATGTCTGTTATCACGGCTGCTGCCCTACACCGCACTGCTGAACTGATTGCGTACCAGCAGTTGATCCTGACTGCTAACTGCCAGTTCTTCCCAAGCGCGTGGCTAGAGTACGACCGCCAGCTGCGGATGCTCGTGGCCCAGTAACCAGGCACGAAGAGGTTGGACACCATCGACGTGAACCTATGGCAGATAGCCGTCACAGGCCATGCACACCCAAAATGCGCTCAATGTAAGACGGTCCATCCAGGGGCGGTTTGTGTCCTTTTCGTCCCGAAGCCAGCAGCATTTACCTCCAGTGGTCGCAACCATACCAGCGACGGCCAAGAAATCTGCCGCAACTTCAATGGAGGTCGCTGTTCTTCGTCGTCGTGCCGCTTCTCCCACACCTGCAGCCAGTGTGGCAAGGACCACCCATGCATCATGTGCAACCAGCAGCAGCGCGGAGCCAATCGGCCACCCCGCCGCTCCTAGCAGAATGGCTACTGAATCGCTTGACTCGGTACGTAGCTTCTTTCCTATACACTCTGCAGACACCACACTGCTAGCTGACCACTTTGCCCGCCTGTTACGTAACCACTCAGATCAATCATGTGTTGCGTATGTTCTCCATGGCCTGCGCCGTGGCTTTACTCTTGGATCTGCCGGCCAACACGACATTTCGGTTTTCTCTAATAATCTACCATTGGCTTTCACTCACTCGGCATTTATATCCGAGCAATTAGCTGCTTCCTGCGCCCGCAGCGAGACCACAGGCCCATTTCCGTCACCTCCATTTCAGTTCATGCGCCGCTCTGGTATTGGTGCCATCCCCAAAAAGAACGGCAAGCCGCGAATGATCCACCATCTGTCTAGTCCGGAAGGCACCGGCGCGAACGACAGCATTCCTGCCGAGCCGCTCTCTCTGCACTACGCGAGCATTGACAACGCGATCAACATCATCATGTCATGCCCACAGCCTGTGTATTTGTCCAAGCTCGATGTACGCAGTGCATTTCGGCAGATCCCAGTCCGCCGTCAGGACTTCGCTGGGAAGGCTCCTACTACTACGAGCGCTTTCTGCCTTTCGGCCTCCGCTCCAGCCCAGCCGTCTTTGACTCAGTAGCCACAGCAGTCAACTGGATCATGCAGCACGAGTTTGCTATAGATCACCGGCTTCACTACCTCGATGACTTTCTCGATATCTCCACTGGTTTGGCTGCAGCCAACCAGCAACTCACCATCCCCCTCCGGGCGTTCACGTATCTCGGCACTCCTCTTTGCTCCATCCCAGCTCAAAGGGCCATCACCATCATTGACCTTCCTTGGTATTGTCCTAGACTGCGAGCGCCACGAAGCTCGGCTACCAGAGGACAAGCTGTCCGAGATCCGTGCGCCACTCATGGCTACTATCAGCGAGCGCAGCATCGGCCAGCGTCAACTCGAGTCCCTCCTGGGGAAGCTCACTTTTGCTGCCCGAGTCATCGTTCCTGGACACACATTCATGCGTGAACTATGATCAGCGTGCCCTGAACTGTATCTGTGTATGCGAGTGCGGTGCATAAAGCCCACCTTAAGAATGGGTTTGCCGGCCCCTTTGTAGATGCGTGGCTTCTGAAGAGGGTGTTGAAGGGCATCCAGCGATGCCATGGTACGGCTGCACTCACCCCTCGCCTTCCTATAACTATGCCAATCCTACGACACCTGACGGATGCACGCCGGAAAAGCAGTATCCTGAATGGCCATGACAAGCTGCTCTACCAAGCCGCCATGCTGCTTCTTTGGATTTCTTCGGTGCGCTGAATTCACTAATGGCATCACACGGGGCTGTACTAGCTCCCCTGGTGACGGACGCCTGCACCTCTTCCTGCTTTCATCCAAGTCGGACCCATTCGGTAAAGGCGTTACTAGTGACATTGGCCCGTCTGTACCGCCGTACTGCCCGGTCCGTGCCATTGTTAGCTACCCAGTTGTCACTCGTCGCGAGGGACCGGAGCAACTCTTGTTCGTACTCTCGAACAGACAGCAGCTGACCAGGCAGTCATTCACAGTAACAGTATGGTCTCTTGTCGCTGCGGCCGGTGTACCATCCCAGTCGAACTACTCCGGGCATTCGATCCACATTGGTGTAGCCACCACCGCTGCTATGGCTAGTGCCCCCGACTCCTTCTTCCGAGTGGCAGGTCAGTGGAAAGAGCGATGCGTGTCTATGCTACATCCAGACTACAACAAGCGCATAGCGCCAGCTATCGTCCCGGCTTGCTGCCGTGCCATGGATGCCATGATCCCCAACTCGGGTGAGTAATGAGCTACTGAACTCTAGCTGCGCAATGCTTGCCTGTGCTGACATTAATTGACCCTTGCTGTGCGTCAATAGTGCTTAGCTAACGGAGTGCTGGTTTCATGGGTCCACTCTCACAACTGGTGTTATCTAGCTATTTGCTGCGGCTCTGCCTTGCGCTATATTACATCCATTTAGCATTGCAGCTCTACGTTGAGCTAACAGCAGCTCTACTTTGAGCTAACAGCAGCTCTACTTTGAGCTAACAGCAGCTCTACTTTGAGCTAACAGCAGCTCTACTTTGAGCTAACAGCAGCTCTACTTTGAGCTAACAGCAGCTCTACTTTGAGCTAACAGCAGCTCTACTTTAAGCTAACCGCAGCTCTACTTTGAGCTAACAGCAGCTCTACCTTGAGCTAACAGCAGCTCTACTTTGAGCTAACAGCAGCTCTACTTTGAGCTAATCGCAGCTCTACTTTGAGCTAACAGCAGCTCTGCTCTGAGCTAACACCAGCTCTACTTTGAGCTTCAAACCAGTTGTTTCGAAACCAGCACTCCTCAATCCAAAGATGCCTCTTTGTTGACTTGTTTGTGTGAGGGATGGGGCTAATGGTGTACTAGCTGTGCTAGTACTTGTTAGCAACAATCCGAACTAGCGCACACACTGCACTGCATTGCTTTGTACTGCATTCAAGACTGACGTCATGCGCTTTGTTTTGCTGCGTAATCACAAATGGCACCAGCCCATTTTTGCGGAAAAGAAAAACAAATCTTGCTTGCCCTGTTGTGCTCTTCCGGACAACGGATCATGCTTCAGCAGTGTTTCTTTTCCCACCATCCCTCCCTATCCAACTTATTCACACCATCATAATATTATCGTACCCACTAACCGGGTCCACTCTCACAACTGGTGTTATCTAGCTATTTGCTGCGGCTCTGCCTTGCGCTATATTACATCCATTTAGCATTGCAGCTCTACGTTGAGCTAACAGCAGCTCTACTTTGAGCTAACAGCAGCTCTACTTTGAGCTAACAGCAGCTCTACTTTGAGCTAACAGCAGCTCTACTTTGAGCTAACAGCAGCTCTACTTTGAGCTAACAGCAGCTCTACTTTGAGCTAACAGCAGCTCTACTTTGAGCTAACAGCAGCTCTACTTTGAGCTAACAGCAGCTCTACTTTGAGCTAACAGCAGCTCTACCTTGAGCTAACAGCAGCTCTACTTTGAGCTAACAGCAGCTCTACTTTGAGCTAATCACAGCTCTACTTTGAGCTAACAGCAGCTCTGCTCTGAGCTAACACCAGCTCTACTTTGAGCTTCAAACCAGTTGTTTCGAAACCAGCACTCCTCAATCCAAAGATGCCTCTTTGTTGACTTGTTTGTGTGAGGGATGGGGCTAATAATTATTATTATTATTAACTGGTTTGAGGGAAAGAGACAAACGGGAAAAGTCTGAAGAAAAAATTGACTGTCACCACCAGGACTCGAACCAGGGACCCTCGCTTGTAGCCAGCGATGCTCTAACCACTGAGCTATGGTGTAGTCGTCATCCCAGCAGAGGGTGATAATTATTCCCGTAGCTATGCAGAAGACGTTACTTCAGTAACGTCTGGCGCTAGCCAGGGTCCACACAGCTTTAATTTGGTGTTTGTTTGTGTGTTTGTTTGTTTGTGTCACGCCTGGCGCTATCCCGTATCTGTCCCGTACTGTACCGTACCAGCAAAGACAGCTGGCCACAATATTTTTGTTTGTTTGTGCCATCGACATGCCTGGCGCTATCCCGTACCTGTCCCGTACCATCAAGAGTACGGTACCATCAAGAGAATGAGTATATATGCGAAGTGTATGGGGGGAATGCATTCAGTGCAGTACCATTAAATTTTGTGTGGATTTGTGTGCGAGGCCGAGATCCCACTAGCAGGCTGGCTGGGCCGCCTGTCGACCAGCCCGGGAATCGCATGTAGGCCGATAGCATAATAATTATAACGTATAGACCTTATTCGATAAACGTCACAATCACGTGAACCGGGGTCCCGGGATCCAGGGAGTGGCAAGAGATCTGCGCTCATTGCACAGTGGACTCTGTGTGCGAACATAGGAGTAGATAAATACCGGTATTTTACTACTCTTTTGTACAAACTGGGCCTTTCTTGCCACTCGTTTCTCGTACGCGTGCCCTAGCTTATGACAAATCCCTGGAGGCGAGTCCAAAAGTCACGTTATCGAATAAGGTCTATATACAGTCATGTAGATGTATAGCAGGGAGTCATATTATGTAAACGACTCTCTGCTGTATGGGGAGATTTTCTGGAAAGAAATACGAAGTAGGGAGACGAGTAAATGCGATCAGAATGGATGTTAGTTGCCGTCAGTATAATAATAAGAAGAAGAAGAAGAACGCCCGTGATCGGCAGAGTCAGCGCCGGTCCCAGAAAACGTCAGGACAGACATCCCGTCGACTTCAGAACGCCCGTGATCGGCAGAGTCAGCGCCGGTCCCATAGCTATGCAGAAGACGTTACTTGTACTTCAGTATCTCATTGAAACGTTTTTGCAATACAATGATGTAGCTAATCAAAGGAAAAAGCATTTCCATCAGTTCTAACAACATGCGCGATGAGCTAGGCAACAAAGCATAGCGCAGGGCCCTGAGCTTCCAAGCTCTCTCGTTATTATTCCCGTAGCTATGCAGAAGACGTTACTTCAGTAACGTCTGGCGCTAGCCGGGGTCCACACAGCTTTAATTCCCGTAGCTATGCAGAAGACGTTACTTCAGTAACGTCTGGCGCTAGCCAGGGTCCACACAGCTTTAATTTGGTGTTTGTTTGTGTGTTTGTTTGTGTCACGCCTGGCGCTATCCGTATCTGACGGCAAAAAAGCATAGGATGTTATAAATTTTTCAATTCTCCTTCTTTTTTTTCAGGCATATCCTGGGATTCGAACCCGCACTATCGCCCTACATGCATTCCCCCATACACTTCGCATTCATACCCATTCTTCCAAGTTGCTTTGCGTTATTATCTTGCGTTTGAAAGCCCTATTTGAATATTGCGGGCAGCTGTATGTGGCCAGCTGTGTTTGATGGTACGGTACGGTACGGGAGACGGTGTCGTATTACCCTCGATCGTACCTGTCCCGTACCTATCCCCTACCGTACCGTGCCATCAAAGACGGCTGGCCACAATGCATATTCAAATAGGGCTTTCAAATGCAAGATCACAATGTGAAACAACTTGGAAGAATTAGTATGTATGCGAAGTGTATCGGGGGATGCATGCAGGGCGCGCGATAGTGCGGGTTCGAATCCCAGGTTATGTCTTTAAAAAAAAGGAATTTTTTAAAGAATTTATAACATCCCTATGCTTTTTTTTTGTCCAGGTCATCAAGGCAAAAAAGCATAGCGTAGGGCCCTGAGCTTCCAAGCTCTCTCGTTTGGTATTTGTGTGTTTGATTGTTTGTGTCACGCCTGACGCTATCCGTATCTGACGGCAAAAAAGCATAGGATGTTATAAATTTTTCAATTCTCCTATTTTTTTTTCAGGCATATCCTGGGATTCGAACCCGCACTATCGCCCTACATGCATTCCCCCATACACTTCGCATTCATACCCATTCTTCCAAGTTGCTTCACGTTATTATCTTGCGTTTGAAAGCCCTATTTGAATATTGCGGGCAGCTGTATGTGGCCAGCTGTGTTTGATGGTACGGTACGGTACGGGATACGGTGTAGTATTACCCTCGATCGTACCTGTCCCGTACCTTTCCCCTACCGTACCGTGCCATCAAAGACGGCTGGCCACAATGCATATTCAAATAGGGCTTTCAAATGCAAGATCACAATGTATGCGAAGTGTATCGGGGGATGCATGCAGGGCGCGCGATAGTGCGGGTTCGAATCCCAGGTTATGTCTAAAAAAAATGATTTTTTTAAAGAATTTATAACATCCCTATGCTTTTTTTTTGTCTAGGTCATCAAGGCAAAAAAGCATAGCGTAGGGCCCTGAGCTTCCAAGCTCTCTCGTTATTATCATGTACATGTACATGGATGGTGGTTGTGGTATTCCAGTCATAACTCTACTGAAGTATGTGGCTCTGTGCCAGCCTCACCCTCATCCCACCAACATAACGGTAACGTGTAGTGTGTTCTACTGTTGTATGTGTGCAACATTCTTTGTGCAATATCTTGGCAAATTTCATAAGGATCATCCTAGACAGACAGACACAAGTAGAAATGCGGAAAACCTGTCAAGGTTACCACACTGTTAAGGCGACCACCTGTCCTAGAAGACTGTTGTAGTACGTTATGTCATGTACGTCGTGTGTACGTCGTGTTGGTGCATGCACGTGTTGCTGTGATGTGAAAGCAGTCTTTGTCTTGAGTTCGTCATGTCTAGTTGTGTTTCCGTAGTCGTCTTGCAATAAACAGTCTTTCAAATGTAGTTATCGTCGTCCCTTTTGTATAAGTGTGGAGATGGCACGGGACTGGGAGCAAGTGGAGAAAAGGCAGTTACAACAAAACCACTGAAATCAGGATCAAGGGATAACATCTCCAGTCAGATTACCCTGCATAAGGAGACCACCTCACGGACACCACGTTTCGAAGGTCTCTGAAGTGGTCTTCCTATACAGATTGCACTCTACATGCACTGCCTTTTCCGTACTGATCTCAGTTGTGCTGTTGACGCCTGCTCCTCTTTCTACAGCTATCTATGGAACCAACATTGCCGCCATGACTCTAATGTTGGTGGGGTACAATCGCACCGACCCCAGTCACCATTTCGTGGCAATACGACAGCATAACCTGGCCGTGGACAAGCGTTACATGTTGAAAGCGGAGCTCAACTGTCTGCTGAACTACTCTAAAGGACCGGATACGATCGCTCCCGAGAGCGGCGTTCACACAAAGTGGTATCGCAACGGTCAACGCATACGTAAAGACCGCCTGGAGACGTACCTCTTCTCGCTGACTGGCGAGGACAGATCCATTCTCTTGCTTACCGACTTTCAGGACAATATGAATCATACGGAGGAGCTCAACGGGGAGTATGTCTGTGCAGTCTACAATAGAAAAGGACTGCTCATCGTCAAGAAAACATTCGATGTCAAAATCTGTAAGTTTGCGAGTGAGAGTCTTCTCTGTGATATCTCACATTCTACAACATGGGGGGGGGGGGCATGCACATGCATGGACAAGAACGGCACAATTCAATAGAAAAGGGAGAACATTTGAGCACTATTTTTGTTCGGCAGATTTCTCGGTTGCACCATATTATTGTCTGACTTTCACATGGCAACTGGAGTTAGCTTGAAAGTTCCTTTTCGACATTTTGTGCTGTTTTGTAGTCTACCCACCGGAACTCAATGGCTTTGATCGAAGACCGTTGATTGAAGAGATGGCCAAAAAGGTGTCGGTTCCCAAAACGGGTGTGATCTCTGTGCTGGCCAAGGGACTCTCCTGGGTTACTCTCGGCTGGCAGTTGCAGGTAGTACATTTGAAGTACAACGTGGCCAATGTCACCAAGATCATCATACGACTGACTGGAGCAGCGTCCAATCCCACACCCACCGAAATCGACAACCCGGCAGAGGAGGGACAAGTCAATATTACCGGTTTGGATCAAGACCAGCTGTACAAGATACGAAGCAAGACGTACAACGGACCCAACCACTCTTCCACAGGCAGGCGTGAAGAATTCCGCACCGATCGTAAGTGGAGAATGATATGTTGTCCTCCCCAATCTGAAATCCCGTGCAGATACGGAGCTGCAAGCGATGTGGGAAGTGTTTTTGTATATCTAGGAATGCACCCGGAGCTATCTAGGAATGCATGTAAATAATCTAGACCTGCATGGTGCCTGTTTAGTGTTCGGTTCCTTAGAACATTGAACATTCCGTTGGGTGTTAGCATTCTTGATGCAAGCTCCTAAAGGCTAAACGTTGGCGTATGCACCTCATTTAATAAGCTTGCTGAATAGGCCAACAAAGGCTTGGTGGCATGTTAGATTTACTGAAGCGTCGTGACTTGTATTTGTTGTTATTTTTTTCTCATGCATTTTCCTCCCTCAGTCTTACCATCTGTTGAATGTGAGAGCACAACGCTGACTGTGGTTGCCGGTAGCAACCAGACAGTGGAATGCTTGATTCGCGGACGACCACAACCTGACATGGAAATGCAAAGGTTCGACGTGGACTCGCTCAAGACTCTCCAGAACAAAAAGATCGTCATACTCTCTTGGTCCAACATGCACTATGGTATTGTACGCCGTTTCACCTGCTTCGACGTGTGGAATAAATACGACCGCATTCGAACCTGCATTCAGAAAATCATCTATTGCCGGCCACTGCCAGTACCAAAGAATGGCTTTGCGAAGGTCCTTGATGGTCTCACCCCGAACGGTAAAACGATATTTTCTTGCAAGGAAGGCTTCTTCTTGAATGGAACATACGAGCGGCAATGTGTGGACACCACATCCAAATGGGATCAGCACCAACCAACGTGCTTAGGTAGGAGCCATGGTCCATAGCGAACGCTTTGCACAACCTACATGAAATCTGTGGATGTTGAGGTTGCTTGTGCAAATGACAGTTCCCTATCAATTCTTTTGTCAGTGGTCAGTATTCCAATTCCTTGTAGCGTTTTATAGTAAAGAAAAGCAGGGGCGTCACACACGGTACGACCACTACGACCATGGTCGTACCACTTTTCGTCTAGGATGGTCCACCTAATTCATCCGAAAAAGCAATAAAAAAATTCAAGGATCTTCGGACTTGTACAAAACATCGCAACTCTTACTTTCATTGCAAGGAGCATACCGACTTGATGCCTAGCACTAGCAGCTAGCTATTGCCCAAGACTCCAGGCGGCTATCCATTACGATAGGCGGTTGGAGTCACGGTTAGAGACAACCAGACGATGGATTCCTCACGGACACATTCACTGCAAACTTGACGGAAACAGAGCTGAGCTGGCGGCGATCACTGGGTCCAGAACTAAAATTTTCCAAGATCTACCATGTTACAATGGCGATCAGCACGTCAAGAGACACTACATGTATGTCACTTGTCAGCTACAACATAATAATTATATTCTTTCGACAACGACACCTACCTTGTACCTCTGGCTCCTGACGATCTACTGCAAGCGGATTCGAAAATGCATTACACCCGCGAACGCAGCGCTTGTCAACGGAAAAGGGAAGCACTTCATTCTCCGAAGCTGAAAAGTGTTTGGACTGCTGCTCCACGGCCGCAGAATATTCTGCAGCTGTTCACCGACACGACCCGCTTCACCTACATTATAACGATTTACGATCGTTTCGTTCCCCGAGTTTTCTGGTAGCAGCAACAAGAATTTCGTCCGCGACGACAGGACGAAAGTCTCTCGCAAACTCAAGTCCTGTTGCCACGAAGACAGAGAAGATTCCGCAAGCGCTTTCTTCTGCTTCCATTATTGTAGCTCTCCGGTCCACTGGCAGATCTTTCAATCCCACCGAACAAAAACAAAGGATCTTCTTCTCTCTCTAAAAACAACTATAATAATTACTTCGCGACTGTCCAGGCCGGACGTGTACATAGTGTACGCGACGCGGCAGACTTTTGCAGGACACGACATACATTTTTGCATAGCCGCTGGCGCTAGAACGCGCAGCACGCTTGTACTTCGGATTTTGCGATTTTTTCGAGGGCAATGGCCCTGAATCATTGAATGGGTTCCATTTGCCTTGCTTGGCTACCTACGATGTACAGAAAATACCAAAAATCCATGAGAAGTATGTTTTTGGAGCTGGAGTGGGGTTGTCTAATAAGTGCTAGGGGAACCCTCCTTTGCGGCTGTAGAGTGCTAAAACGTGGCCTGTTAGCCGAAAAATCCTTATTTTTTTCTCCCGGGGACCCCCCGTCGTACCACTCCCAGCAACCCTGTGACGCCCCTGGAAAGGACCTAGGAACTACAAGTTACGCTATAATGTCCACTAACACCACCAGTTAATTGAAAATCAGCTTGACAATCAGCCAACGTCCTTCGCAGCTGAGACTTTCAGCTTGTGCTTGTCTTGGTTGCGCTCACCTTCTCCTCCTATGTTATCAAAGAACTTAGAACCTTCCAAGTTGGAGTGCGCGCATCCAAGACGTGCTAGAGCTGATAGCCAGTTACTTGTAGAACGTCAGTTCCGTTCGTTCAGTTGTGTGCAATGTTATCGCATGAGCTGATTGTCAAGTAACTGGAGTCGTCAGTGGACATTATAGAGTAATTTGTAGTTCCTTGGTCCTTTTCTTTACTATCATGAATTAATAATTGGCTCTCCATCCGAGTCTCTCCTTGTAGCATTCTCTGAGTCTCTCCTTGTAGCATTCTCCGAGTCTCTCCTTGTAGCATTCTCCGAGTGTCTCCTTGTAGCATTCTCCGAGTGTCTCCTTGTAGCATTCTCCGAGTCTCTCCTTGTAGCATTCTCCGAGTCTCTCCTTGTAGCATTCTCCGAGTCTCTCCTTGTAGCATTCTCCGAGTCTCTCCTTGTAGCATTCTCCGAGTCTCTCCTTGTAGCATTCTCCGAGTCTCTCCTTGTAGCATTCTCCGAGTCTCTCCTTGTAGCATTCTCCGAGTCTCTCCTTGTAGCATTCTCCGAGTCTCTCCTTGTAGCATTCTCCGAGTCTCTCCTTGTAGCATTCTCCGAGTCTCTCCTTGTAGCATTCTCCGAGTCTCTCCTTGTAGCATTCTCCCAGTCTCTCCTTGTAGCATTCTCCGAGTGTCTCCTTGTAGCATTCTCCGAGTCTCTCCTTGTAGCATTCTCCGAGTCTCTCCTTGTAGCATTCTCCGAGTCTCTCCTTGTAGCATTCTCCCAGTCTCTCCTTGTAGCATTCTCCGAGTCTCTCCTTGTAGCATTCTCCCAGTCTCTCCTTGTAGCATTCTCCGAGTCTCTCCTTGTAGCATTCTCCGAGTCTCTCCTTGTAGCATTCTCCGAGTCTCTCCTTGTAGCATTCTCCGAGTCTCTCCTTGTAGCATTCTCCGAGTCTCTCCTTGTAGCATTCTCCGAGTCTCTCCTTGTAGCATTCTCCGAGTCTCTCCTTGTAGCATTCTCCGAGTCTCTCCTTGTAGCATTCTCCAAGTCTCTCCTTGTAGCATTCTCCGAGTCTCTCCTTGTAGCATTCTCCGAGTCTCTCCTTGTAGCATTCTCCGAGTCTCTCCTTGTAGCATTCTCCACTTGCATACTAGGTTAGGTTATGTTATGTATTGTATTGTATTTAAAAGGATTCTCCAAAAGCAAATGGATGCATATCACGGAAGTCTCCTACATAAATAGAGCAAGAAAAATGGGGAAATGGGGGAGAGGAGAGTGGAAGATGAAGCATGGGAAGAAGGGAAACAAGTACCTAAATATCGAGGTATAAAAGCAGGAAAGAAATCGATGAGAGAAGAAATCACTTCTGCAGTTAATAGCGGGACATTTAGATGAAGAAAAAAACCCCAGCAAGGATTAATTTCAAGGAAAAATTTCCCAAACGGAAAAGTTCGGAATTCCAGTCAGAGAATATCTATGTAAACTTAGTTCTATTGTTTTTCATAACCCAATGTCTAATGAAAACCTTTTTTGGTGTGTGTGTGTGTGCTTGTGTGCGTGTGTTTGTTTGTATGTGGATTGTATGTGGATGTACGTGTGCATGGCATATGTATACGTGTGTGTTTGTTTCTATCTGAATGTGCACGTGTATGCGCGTGTGTATGTATGTATGTGTTCTTTTTATTTGTGTGCTTGTGTATTTGCATATTTGCGCAACATCAGCACACACTAGTCCAACAGCGGAGATCGAGGGAGGCCCATACCTCTTCATGAGCGCCGGTAAACAGGTTCAATTCAACTGCAAAGTAACCGGAATCCCACCGCCTCGGGTCCAATGGTATGTGAACGGAGATGAAATCGAGATAGAAAGACGTCTTCCCTACCAGACAAAGGTGTTTGTAGACAGCCAAGATTTGAAGAAGCTACATGTCAGAGCCTCGGTCAATCTGTACATGGACTACAATGTTACTTGCACTGCTATCAATGAACTAGGCAGTGCAAAATCCCAAGCAATGTTGATTATGGCTGGTAAGTTTCGTAAGCATTTGTGAGCATGCTGTGTTATCCAGGAGATGCTCTATATTGAATGTCTAGTGTTCTCAAAGTCTGTGTGTATCCCTGTCTGTCTGTCTATCTGACTGATTCTCTCTCTCTCTCTCTCTCTCTCTCTCTCTCTCTCTCTCTCTCTCTCTCTCTCTCTCTCTCTCTCTCTCTCTCTCTCTCTCTCTCTCTCTCTCTCTCTATCTGACTGATTCTCTCTCTCTCTCTCTCTCTCTCTCTCTCTCTCTCTCTCTCTCTCTCTCTCTCTCTCTCTCTCTCTCTCTCTCTCTCTCTATTTCTCTCTCTCTCTCTATACATCTCTCTCTCTCTCTCTCTCTCTCTCTCTCTCTCTCTCTCTCTCTATCTCTCTCTCTCTCTCTCTCTCTCTCTCTCTCTCTCTCTCTCTCTCTCTCTCTCTCTCTCTCTCTAAAATCTAGACTGACAACCTGCCTGTTAAATCATGCACCTGCTTTCAGGCGTAAAAACCCTGTTGTAGAGGTCTCAGTCCTCATTTGTTAGACTTACCTGTCTTTATAAATGTAACTTACTCTCTCTCGCGCTCGCTCGCTCTCTCTCGCTCTCTCTCGCTCTCTCTCTCTCTCTCTCTCTCTCTCTCTCTCTCTCTCTCTCTCTCTCTCTCTCTCTCTCTCTCTCGCTCTCTCCCTCTCTCTCCCTCGATCTCTATCCCCCCCCCCCCCCCGCCCAAACCAAGTGCAGTCACCTGTGAAGTAAATACTACACTGTAGTTTTTCATAGTTATCTGTTTGGATATTCGCACAGTCATGGTCTCTTCTGAGTCTGAGTATGTTGAGTATATGAGTGTGTCGTGTGTGTGAGTGTGACACAAGCTGTTTCTCTCTGACCGTGTATTCCAAGCTATGATTCGCTTCATCTGACCATGCCCTGCACGGTCCATACGCCCGAGATCAAACATGAAGTACATGTGAGTTTGAGAATTTCTGCTCCTGACAATCATTGTATGTTCCTCGGTCACTGTTCTGTTTCGCACACAGGCACGGCTGAAAAAGTGGACGTCTACGAACACGAGGAGATCAGCTTGACTTGCCTGGACCTTCCTGATCTACAGGACGTCAGTTGGAACGACTCGTTTCAGGTCACAACGGGCAATGCAAGCATTGTCCTCGGTCCACCGGCTGTACGCTATAATCAAAGTGTGATTGTTTGCTACAACAGAGAGGTGGACAATCTCAAAGCCTACGTCATCAATGTTCTTCCTGCTGAGTTCGTAGGAGAGTGACATATCTAGTAGCAAAATTATACTACAGTCCTGCTCAATGAGATCCAAGCGCGTCAATCAAGTTTGTGCCTTGCACTTTTTCACAGCCCAGTTTTCGCAAGTCTATGACTGCGCAACGCCCTGCGTATACTTGAGGAATGCAAATGTATTTCATTGGGCAGCAGACTAGTATGCATAGCTTTCTATTCCTATCACTGTAAGACATGTATATATGTAGGACTCAGTGACCAGTCAAGGCCCCATGACCAATCACGGTCCCCGTGACCAGTCAAACAGTCACAAACTCCCCATGACCAGTCACAAATTAGTTTACCAGTCACAATGCAACATGACCAGTCACAAATCACCATACATGTACATGTGTAAAGCACACAGTTCGTGACTGCTCGCGGAGTGTTTCGTACTGCAGGATTTGTTGTTGTTGTGGTATGTACCTACACCTCACAGTTCCTCACTCTATCACATTCACCTGCTTCCACGCCTTCATTTCACTCACCTTTTGTAGTAGCTCACACCGTCGGAACACTCTCACATCTTTTCTTCTAATTTCTTTCGTCTTCTCTCCCACTTTAGTTTTTTTTTCACACCTCACCTTGTATACTTCCCACTATCCTATAGACCTATAAGTAGTTTGTTTCTCCGTATAGCCTCTATTGTGAGGCGATATTTCCCTGATGATAGTCTCAAGAAAATCGATTAGGAACATCAATTTTTATACATGTATTCTCATTCATCATTTCGTAATGTCCGCTTCACTTATACTATTAATCGCATTAATAAAGTTATTGACTCCTCGTCGCCTATTCAAATATTAAAATGTAGGTCCATCGGTCCAAGACAATGCCACACAGCGCCCAGAAGGCTTTAAGTTCTTTTGAAAGCACCTAAAAATAACCTGAATGTAACAGGGGATATCTCACATTTGCTGTGCGGCCCGAACCGTAACTGATGTTATCACTTGGCCATTTCCTTCCGCCATGCTGGTCTTTTGTAGCTCTTTTAATCTCTTGTGCTTCTGTTCTGTTATGTTCTCTTCATTCACTTCTCTACAGTGGTGCCAATGTCATGAGGCCATTTGCCTACTGTGGTTGCCACTCTACATACAATACAATACAATACAATACAATAATTATATTCACCAGCCTGAGTGGCTCTTAAAGAGAGCATAACTTACCAAAGTGCACTTCTATGGTAGCCGAGTAGATGAGTTGTGTTCTCCTGCGCATCTCACATCGATAGACACCGTCAACCTCATGAGTGTAGGTCTGATAGTCGGAAGCTAGCATATCTGAGATTTGAAGTATTCTGTTTCCCTCCCCTAGTGAGAGTGTAGCTGAGCAATTGGGCCCGAGAGAAGTGGTTGAGATCAATCGACTGCCCTTGAAGAACCACATTGTTCTGAGCGGCTCTTCTCCAATGGATCTCCCTGTGCTCCGAGTGTAAAACTCGGTGCAGTCGAGCGCAGCATGAAGTGGATAGGCGTGATCCACGGCAAGATTCTGTTGTCGAATAACAAGACGGAATGAGTGACGGTCACTCTCATCATCAATACTTAGAGTAAGTGTCATGCTATTGATTTGATGTCCATGATATCCTGTAGTATGGCCAGGAGACAACAAAGTGGAAACACAAACCCCAAACCAGAATTAGGTATAGTAGAAGCCAACTAGTACACGTCAAGACATACCACCGTTATTAGCTTCCAATGGTTCGATGGTGACTGACCCCAAGTCTATAGCTAATACTCTCAATACGCAATTCACATCAGCTGGTATTCCAGACGACCATTCCTCTCCAATACCACCTCTGCCTCAAAGGACAACTAGTACACGTCAAGACATACCACCGTTATTAGCTTCCAATGGTTCGATGGTGACTGACCCCAAGTCTATAGCTAATACTCTCAATACGCAATTCACATCAGCTGGTATTCCAGACGACCATTCCTCTCCAATACCACCTCTGCAACGTTCTGCGACTGTGTCTTCTGATCTGCGCTCTATACATACCACCACATCATCTGTTCGCAGCTACCTAAAAAGACTAAAAAGCAACAAAAGCCCTGGTCCTGATGCCCTACCAAATGAAGTTCTCAAAGTTCTGGCTCCATCTCTGGCGTACCCACTGTGCCTTATATTCAACCTTTCCTACTCCTCCGGCGTATTTCCTGATCGTTGGAAGATCGCTAAGGTCACGCCCATCTACAAGTGTAAAGGCTCCCGATCACAAGCCTCAAACTATCGTCCAATATCTCTTCTCTGCTCCCTTTCAAAAGTATGTGAAAAGGTATTTTACGACCAGTTGTATTGCCACATTTCACCATGCCTTAGCCCTTCCCAATCTGGATTTCGGCGCAACGACTCAACCTCTGACCAACTAGCTCGTCTAGTACAAGACATTGCCACCCTTCGTGATGCTCGACACCATATTGCTCTCTGTTTCTTTGACTTGGCAAAGGCCTTTGATACTGTCTGGCATCGTGGCCTCCTTGCCAAGCTACATATTGTCTTTGGTGTGTCTGGCCCTGCTCTGTCCTGGCTGGAGTCCTATCTGAGTAGCCGATCCCAGTTTGTTTCTGCCCTCTCCATCAACTCTGATCCTCTACCAGTGTCTTCTGGAGTTCCCCAAGGCTCCATACTTGGACCTCTTTTGTTCGTAGCATACGTAAATGATTTACCCTCTTTAGACCCAGGTGTCTCGTTATTTGCTGATGATACAACCCTACTGTCAGCATCCTCGTCCTCAGCGGCTCTTGTACCTCGAGTGTCGGCTCAGATATGCAGTGTCCTACGCTGGATGCAAACATGGCGACTTAGACCCAACCTGACTAAAACCGAAATAATGTTCCTTCCCCCAATCTCATCCATGTCACTTTTACACCATCCTGATTTCCCAGAACCCATAAAGGTTGTTTCCAACCATAAACACCTGGGAATAATGCTTGATGATCGTCTCTCTTGGTCTTTCCATATTGATGCTCTTTGCAGCCGTTCAAGCTCTGCCCTAGGTGTTATACGTCCCCATTGTTTCCATCTTCCTTTCAAATGTAAAATTTTGTTTTACAAACTGTACATCCTGCCTCTTTTCATGTACGCTGCTGTTAGCTGGTGTGGCTTGTCCTCGGTTCTCGCTGAGCGTCTCGAAATCCACCATAGAAAACTTCTTCGTATCCTGTTTAGTCTACCCCCTCTCTACTCTTCTGCTTCCCTGTATGTCCTTGCAAATGCTTGCCCACTGTCGACCCACCGTCAAAAATTAATTTGCACTTTTGCTCACAAATTTAAACTAGCTCTACATCCTCCTCATCTTAACGTGTATAACTGGTTCCGAATCACAGATGGCTCCCAGACAAGATGCTCTGTTGCCCTCCCCTTGGCTAAAACGTCCTCCCTTGTACGCTCTCCACTCTTTGTTGCTTACTCTGCTTGGCTTGCGCTGCCCGCTACTACGCGCAATGCCAGTACCCTGGACGCATTTAAATCTGCTCACTAGATTCACCATCACCTGTCCCTCCCATGCTTCTCCGTCTTGACCATTACTTTTCTTCTTTTATTCACCATGGTTGGTTAACACCCACATCTCCCGTACTGGCTGATTTTCTTCTCATGCCATGAGGTGTTGTCTATAATAATAATAATAATAATAATAATAGAATTGCTAAGCATGCACAAATGCACCGCTCCCCCTCTCTGTCAACACTCGTGCACGCTTCCTCCTCCCCCCCCCCCCTCCCATTCACCTCTCCTCAAACACATACGCACACACGTACTCAAGTACACAAATGCAAATGCATACATAATACACAAATGCCCCTAGAAAGTTGTTCCTTCTGGATTGTGGTGAGCTCGATGTTTGTTAGATTGATAATGGTGCTGGAGTCAATGGATACTGAACCGAAACACTTGTTTCTAAGCCATTAAGGTTCTTAGAAAATTTAGCAAGAAGTCGAGTATGTTGTTTGCAATCATTCTCAGCGACCAGCATTGAGAGGCGGAGAAAGTCATGGTTTGACAGAAACGTACGGACATGACGATACAGACACCGAATTTGTGACTGTACTGTCCAATGCATCTGTAGATCTAGCTATGTCATCTCTAATGACTGTTTTCTCTATAGCCAACGACTGAAAGGCTTTGGCTTTCTGGACTCTATTCTGGATGGCGTGTGGGCAAACACCACACTACAGACATTGCTGGAGAAACGGTATAACTATGAGCAATACACCTAAAGACATATTGCTTACGCAGCACCCTATTCAGACATTCTGTCTGATCGCCGGTGCATCTCCGTTTAGAATTATGTGAATAATCGACGAAAATATTATTGTACTCACACTTCTTTTGTAATTATTTCACACTAAACCATTTTACCAACGCATTTTCACATACATGTCTCAATATCACTATCTGACTGTATATTACCGTACTGGCAATATATGTTGCCGCAGTGAGGCCATGAAGCGTTACATTGGCACATGTTTGCCGCACGCAGGGCGTTACATGCAAAGTCGCACAGGAGCCGTTACACAGGTTTCTATATTGCCGCAGTCCTTTTTTTGCTATTGCCGCATCACTTTTTTGCTATTGCCGCATCATTTTTTGCAAACTGCAATGAAAAGATATCGCCGCACCCCGCCGGACGCGCGTTACGAACGCAACGAAAATTTGTCGCACTAGCCTGGTCGCGCGTTACGCCGCACCCCCCTGCGTTACGCGGCAACATATATTGCCAGTACGGTATCTCGTTACCTTGGTGGACTGTTAGTCATAACTAGTAACTTATAGGTTTTCGATCAGTCTCGTTTTCTCGGCCAGCCAATTTGGGGAGAGCCTATTGTAGAAAGCTTAGGGTACTCCGTAAGAAGGCCCTAGGCCTGTGGGAATGCTCTATTCAATTTTTTTAAATTTTGAATAGGGCATTCCCACAGGCAGGCATAGTGGGATGGTCTAAGACCATGATTGAGAAACAGAGGGTACCAGGTTCAAGTCCTGCTTGGAAGCGGAAGGATTTTTTCCAGCCGTGCTGCGACCCACAGTTAATTGGGAACTCGTGGCCTGGCACGAGGAAAACATGGATGCAGTGAATGGGATTTTCGGTCTTTGACCACTTGCTGGTGAGCTGATCTACTCACCTCCCACCGCTTTAGGAGCTGCATCTGCGCCTTGATCCTTGAAGGGTGGTGGCGTTCCTACGGATGCGGAAAACCCGGCTTCCAGCCGAGTCTCACGCGAACCGTGAAAAAAAAAAAAAAAAAAAAATTCCCACCGGCCAAAATAAATAATAATAATAATAATAATAAGGCCCCCTTGAATTAATTCGTTGTTTCGGGTCACTTCACTCATCCGTACCAAGGTCGGTCGGTCGGGTTTATTTTTTACTTTCTCCGTATACAAAAACTTCGTGACTTTTTTTGAAGGCTGCGCACAGCTCTGGAATTGTTCCGTTTGACTCGGAATAACACTCGTGGCATTGTCTAACCTGTTTACAAGCTATAATATTATACAAAGAAAAAGCAACTCAGACGAATGTGATTGAGTTTATTCAGAGTCTTCGTCGCTCCTGTCATTGTCACCTGACGACGCTGACGCCGCATCGCCAACAGTCGCTGCTTCCACTCGCATTTCGTTCAGATTCTTTTCAGCTGCAGTGATGATCCGACGCGGAACTTTGGCTACGTCCTCTTCATCTCCAGTGCTTTGTACGAATCGGTAACGACTATATTCAGTTGTTCCAACCCGCGACCTCCATTATGCCGTGAAGCGAGTCGCTCAAGCACATCCACACGCTTCGCATTTTCTCGGCATGATAATCCTCCCAGAATTCTACAACGGCTTTGAGGAGGTCCCTGCGATTCCCCTAGACGACGACGGAGACGTCTGACTGGAGAGAGGCGAAGAAAGCCAGGTCGTCGACATTCCGATGCGGAGTCAGCGCTGGTTGCAGGACGACTGAAATGTTTCATCTTGCCGTGCGAGCGGAAGCGATTTATGTTCTCACGTTGCATATGGGGCCGCGCACCGCAAGTACGAACCTGGCCAGTTTCATGGCAGCGATCGATCGAGTGCTAGCCGTGTTCCAGCCGCGAGCTCCACTTCGTCACGGTGTCAGTTTCGAACAAGTGTTAGTTTTTTTCATTTGACTCGTGAGTTCCTGTCGGCAACGCGTCCTCACACGCATGGCTTCTATGGAGAATCTGTTCGGGGGTCAACCAAACCTACCTCAACATGAATGTGGGTTGTGATGACAGCCTTTGGCACGGTTCGTTGAGCAGGTTCTTGCTCTAAAACACCGTTGAAAAAAAGTCACGAAGTTTGGTATACAGAGGAAGTATTTTATTTTATTTTTTATTTTGGGTATTGCATGCCATGCGCCATGTGCATACATAATATCGAATTGCTTTTCTTCATCAAGCCAGTCGATCAAATCCAGACTACCCAGCGCCTTCAGATCTAGGTCCCAAGCTAGCTCCAGGACCAGATCTTGACCTCGCTAGCAAACGAGTCTGACGAGCAGCTCTCACCAAAACGTCTGTCAATGAGCGACGCGGTGGCGGAGCTGATGCTGGTTAAGGACTGATCGCGGATCGGAGAATACAACGTCGTCACCAAGCGCTGCATTCTGTCATTTGGCTGCTTCTGACTCTGAGATTGATGTCTGGACTGGTATTATTATTTTTAGGGTCGCGTGTGTACACAGTCCTGTTGTCATGTAGTCCTGTTGTCATGTACATTTGTATGCACAATATAAAAAAACATTTTGCAGTCGGGTGACCCGAAACAACGGATTAAAGGGGAAGTTAAGGCTAAAATCAAAATTTCACCAGTTGTAGTCTTCGGGGTGCTGAGTCGAATGGTCTTGGTCCGAGAAAGCTGAGACGCTCCCTTCCTACTTTGATCCCAATCGAACTCGCGCACTTCCACCGAAACTGGGTGACTGCGCCCTACTAGATGGGGATTTGTACGCAAAATGTCACTAAAAGCGCCATTTCGTTCTTATATAAGCACGGGTGACCGCGATTGGCCCACATGTTGAAGTCTTTTGGACGCTGAGTCGACTGGTTTTGGTCCGAAAAGGCTGCGATGCAGCATTCCTCCTTTATTCCCAATCGAACATGGTTGAACAAGCGGTCACGTGCTCCTGCGTTCCCAAATCACCTGGTCACCACGCCAGCAGGCGACAACTTTCACACCAAGGTTCAACTTGAGTTCAACTCGAGTGACAAGACTGCACCCAAAAAAGGTCAAACAGGCTAGTAAGTTGTACCCTGCAGGCACGGTGACCAGGTGACTGGTGTACGCAGGAGCACGTGACCGCTTGTTCAACCATGTTCGCTTAGGAATAAAAGAGGAACGCTGCATCGCAGCCTTTTCGGACCAAAACCAGTCGACTTAGCGTCCAAAAGACTACAACATATGGGCCAATCGCGGTCATCCGTGCTTTTATAAGAACGACATGGCGCTTTTCGTGACATTTTGCATACAATTACCCAACTAGTAGGGCGCAGTCACCCAGTTTCGGTGGAAGTGCGCGAGTTCGATTGGGATTAAAGTAGGAAGGGAGCGTCTCAGCTTCCTCAGACCACGACCATTTGACTCAGCACCCCGAAGACTACAACTGGTAAAATTTCGATTTTAGCCTTAACTTTCCCTTTAATTCTGGGTGGCCTAATAAACTTGAAGAGTTTGCAGGCAACCTGCCTACACTCAAGAGGGCACTGCATTTCACACAAATCCATTAGAAATAATTATATCGTTTCAACGATTCGGTCTTCATGACCATCATCAGGAATGGATGCAAACTATTCAAGTGCAATGAAGCTGCGTGAAGCATCCTTCAACATTTTGAGATAAGGCCATGGTAAAAATTATCTTGATTCTCAAGTACGCACGCACCGATTTTTGGCGGCGCACCGACGATTTTTTTTAAATTCCTATGCATGCATATGCACATATGCGCACATGAAAACTGTCCATGCGAAAGGCATGAATCAGGGAGTAGTAAAATACCGGTATTTTTCTACTCCATGGCCTGAATATTATGAACATGTGACCATGTACATATGTGTGACCCTATCTTTGGAAATAAAAAGATTGTGGGAAAAAATCGCTTGCTCGCACCGATTTTCACAGGCTCATGACTTGAGAATCAACTTTATTTTTTACCATGGCCTAATAATAAAGCCTGAGGTTAATTCACTTGCAATGGTCAGCTCTCCCAAAATTGAATGTTGCGTGGGTGCAAACAGGCCTACGCATAACTGTAGAACAAATTCTTACCCAGATGGTAAGGACGATACGGTTTGCTGCCCCTCACGGCCTCAGCCATGAATACAAAGCATTGGGTGTGCTCCAGTCAGTAGGAACGTCAGACCATCCCAGTGCCGTCTGTGAAATCAGCAGTAAATACAGCAGTGCCAAAGCCAGCATGGACGGAGTTCTTGTTCCTCCATTCAAGTAGTTAGTTCGTCCGAGCTGTTTCGCTGGGCTCCGCTCGCCGGCGACCAACAATGCTACCGTCTCTCATTGTGATTTACACGCTCCACTAAGTCTACATGTATGTCTATGGGCTCAAGGAAAGGGTATGGTCCAACCGTACATTGACCTTTTGCCGGCGAGGTGACCACTTAGACCTACGTCACGTCGTTGAGCACCACGTTACAACGTAGGCCTTTTGACGTACTTGATCACGGCGATCGGGATGCGCGATACGTGTTTTGCATACTTGGCTAGCCTTTACGGCTTTAGCGAGACGTGATTATGGATCGACGTCGTTGCCACAGGAACAGAGCAGAGTGGCGCGCGTGATTTCAAAGTTCCTCGCGGGAAATGTGGAAGGAAAGACTTTTTTAGTAAACTACTGTACAATCATGTACTAGTACTTCGAAAATTAGTTGATTTCCTTCAAGGAGAGAGAAAGAGAAAAAGAAAGAGAGAGACCGCGTGTAGAGCACCTTATGCAGTTTACCTAGTAAGTTGCAAACACAGCGTTTCTGGGCAGTCGATGATTGTTGATGGCTGCCAGATTTCAGGATGCTCGAGATTTGGAGCTGTACATGACATGCGTGATGGACGAAACTACCGGCTTCCATTTGGCGTCGTAGTTAGTTGCCAAATTCAGGAGTACAGTGTTCCAGGCAGGCGAGCCACGAGAGAAGGGCTTTTCGCTCGACGCTGCCACTACTTCTTTCGACAAATTGATGTCCTCCTTGGCTCCAAAACGAAATTTCTGGCACACAGCCTTAGTCTGCGTGTCCTCGGCAGCCATACCGAAACAAATTTTGCTCGTAGAAGAAGATACCGGAAACACAAAACAAAGATAGCAAAGAATAAAATTACGCCTAGCGCCTCTCAATCGATCGTACGCGTACCTCGTGGCCCAGTCGTGGGTTACAAAACAAAAACTACAACCAAGAGTTCATAACTCTGTCCCTGCGGGAATTTGCGGAAAAAACTCTCGAAAACTTGCGCAAGAAATTGCGGCAGAAAACAACAAAATATGCGACGAAAAGTGCAGATTGATGCAGAACTTGCCAGGAATTCGCGGAATTATTTGCAGAAAATTGCGGATTTGGGCCAAATCTCGAAATTTGTTGCATCGTATATCTACTCCGGAGTAGTACGACAGTCATACTGCACTGTGCAAATAACCTACAGGATCATGGAAAACGTCCTCGCCTTGTAACATGCTGTCAAAATCGAGGATCATGGAAAGCACTGTGTGAAAAGTGCATGGAACATGTGAGATATAGTGCAGAAAACAACCAAAAACGTGGGAAATCGAGGATTTTGCGGAAAATCGCGGGTTTGGACCAATATCGCGAAATTTGTTGCATCCGTGGAATCGCGATTTCCTGGAGGGCCAGATAACTGGGGGTTATGAACTCTTGCTACAACCTGTCCCCGGGGAAAATTGCGATTCCGCGGCCGCGCTTTTTTCCGCGTTTTTTGCGATTTTTAAAAGATCGCGTTTTCCGCGATTTTCCCCCCGCGTTTTTTGAACTTTTTTGTTGTACTACACGTACACACAGTGCCCTGTTCGGTCAGCAACGTCTCATCGTGGCGGCTTTTTACTCAAATATGACGAGTGCTTACACCAGCGACTTGTAACTGATTGATTTCACTACATACTCACTGAAAATTGCCGCACATCAATATTATTCACCGCATATTTACCGCATATTTACCGCAAATTCACCGCAAATTATGCCATATTATGCCGCGTTTTCCCCGCGTTTTTTGCGATTTTTTTCCGCAATTTTCCCCGGGGACAGTACAACTTAAACACATCGACGTTATTTGAACTCTTGCCCTCTTGGTGCAAAGTGCAAAGGCAAATTCCTACGTCCTGCCACAACGTACAAAAGGCCTTTTCACGTCGAAAACGTTGCCTGATGAACGTACATCCTACGTCGCGACGTGACCCCGAACCCGGAGAAGGGCCTACGTCAGGCTTACGTTGTAAACAACGTGGTGCTAAAGGTCCCTGCACCAGTACAGTGGGCACAATGAATTATTTTGCAATAGTGAGGTTTTGCATTCCGAATTTCGGTTCGGCGTTCTTCCGTCATTTGTCGAACATCAAAATGTCGAATTTTCGCTCCAACGTTTGGTGTGCAAGTCGAAAATGATGTGTTTTCATGTGAGCCCCAGCATCAGCAACGTCCTGTCCCAGGCTGCCTTTCTTGCTGATTCCAACGGCACTCCAGGCGATAGAGAGTAGACAGGCAGTGGAGAGGAGCAATCAGATGTAGCTGGCGATGCTGATGCGCCCAAGACGCCTGCGAAGCGATGCCGAGATAAGAAACCTCTTTGAATAAATCACGCGCTAGCGCTCTTCTACAAGAAAATTCATCCGAAAAAATATTTTCGGCAAAGTGAGCTTTTTCCGAACAAACATGCCGAATCTTCGTGTGCATTTTCGACCTCGCTCCCACGCGTGCCGAATCTTTTTGCCGAATTTCGGAATGCAAAACCTCACTAGATAATAAGTAGGGCTCAAACGGTCACGGTTTTACCCCTGACGGTTAACTGCTAAGCTAACGGTCGGTTAACCGGTTATAACCTATAAGCCACGGCAATCCTGCGGACTCTTTTTTAACCGTATATTTGACTATACTCATTCAAAAAATGTACCCTATTCAGTACAACGCACACTTGTACATTCTCTTGCATGCTCATTCATACATACTCTCACACCAAGAGACCAGATATGACCGAGTTGACAGCCCAGAAATTGCGTACGCGTGCGACAGCCCGCGAAAGTGCACACTTTGCAACGACCTGATACTTAAAAATTGACTGAAAAGTTACTGCGCAACCGTTATCTTTATCGGTTAACCGTTAATTCTTCGTAACCGGTCTGCAAACGGTTAATCGGACTAATCGTTTGAGCCCTAATAATGAGTCGTTCTAGTCCGTGAGCCAAATCTCAGAATCGGCCGTGGACGCTCTTGAGTCCACTTGTGGCATGGCAGGCCGCTCTTCGAAAAGGAAATGTTACAAATACTACACTGAATCCGATCACAGGAGGCCGGCTGTGGTGGTGAAGCAATTCTGAATGCTGTGCGCCACTCTCCTCGCTGCTGTGCAGTGTCGAACCAATGTCCTTCAAGATGTAAGTGATGGATGTCTCTTCGGACAACATCACACCAATGCTGTCGGGTTTCACACACACACACACACACACACACACACACACACACACACACACACACACACACACACACACACACACGGCGCACACCTTGTCGACAATTGCGAAATCTAAAACCCACCAACGGCCTGAAACACGGATCGCACTGGCCGCAGTGGCTGTGGCAACACCGTGCCCCAACACCAGTAGTAGCCTGGGGTGGTGTCACCAACAAAGGAAAACGCCTAGCACGCACATGCACGCGCGCGCGCACACACACAAACACGCGCACATACACACACCCAGAAATGCGCACACACACACGTGCGCACACACACATAAACAGCTAATGGTATAGTATGTTGCCCGCAAAGCAGGCAGGTGCTCTGGCTTGGACCTCCAGCAGCGCTGGTTTCGCCCTCGCTACTTGTCGTCTTGCCCTCTCCAGTGCTGCCTGCAACAAAACATTCCCTTCCGAAAACTCTGGGTGGACCAGTTCTCGGTGTTGTGTTTACACCGTGCTCTGCTTTCATAATTACCGGTATGGCATTCGCTGTTCGTATCAACCACTAAGCTCCTGGTAGGTGGCCCCTTATTGGCCTTAGGATGTGGCTCTGGGTTCACTACTACATGCACATCACTGTCAGCAAGTATAGACAAAGCAAAATCAGAGGCACTGGTCTTCTCCAGGTTTGCAATTGCTATCACATGGGTGCAATTGGTGTAGCACTTTCCATGATACCAGCCACACCATTTACTCCTCCCTGAGCCCTTGTGCTGGCAGAGAAAAGCCCAGATATGGTCGTCCTTCTCTCGAGCAGCGCTGACGATGCGACACCAACTTGTAGTCTCGATATTACTCACTGCAGGCTTCTCGTTTTTACTATATTGGGCGCTGTGACACAGACACAAAATTCCAGCAATATTACTCCGATGGGCTGTCATTTGCCACTTCGTTGCCGTCAGCTGCCTCATCCAGCACCTCGCTGCCACTAGAAACGTCTTCCTCTTCTTCCATTGTTGTCAAAACAACATCAATGTACACGAAAGGAATAAACTTCAATAAAGTGATCACAATATCCCAAGTCGATATTGTCGTCAACGTCGTCATCTTCTAAAAAATAAATTATTTTTCCTCACTCTACGCGAACTCGTGCTTTGCGCTTGCTCATACGATGCACACCTCACCACCCGCGTAAAAATATTTGTTCTCACGGTGGAATTTGGTCGAGAAAAGAAGCCCTCGCGAAGGTCTCTGGATCGGTTCTGGAACGTCCAACAAGCGAAAACGTATCCTTTGTGATGTCCTTGACCAACACTGTAAGCGGCGATTTGTCCCTCCGAGAGTGCAACGGCACAGTTGTGATTTTGAGTTTTGGCTCATGGACTATTCTGTTTCGTTGGCGTGCTGAAATCGTACCTTGTCTTCCGGAGCGACCGCTTGAGAAGTAAAGTAGTTTGTCGTTTATTCTGATTCTTCTTTTTCTGTTTTGTGCCGTGCTCGTCATGGTTATAAGTTGCAGTTGAGTGTGTTAGAAGCTGTTTGTCAACGTATTCATAAGCCTAATCTGTGTGTCCAGAAGGACAGCATTATTCGTTTGAAATTGTTTTAGTAGCAGCTTGCTCTGTCTGTTTGGCTCTGGTTGGCCATGGTGTAATATCTTGTGTCACAGTATACTAGATGTCCTTACAAGTTCGTTAAAAGTGCTTTCGCAGTTTTTCCTGTTATTACCTTAGTGCTAGGATTATCATTTTCATAGGTGTTGTTTCTTCTCACTCCATTTCTCTTTATTAGTATCTTTCTGGATTGTTCTTCATTAGTACAACGTAGCTTCCTGAGGAGTGTTGTGCGAAAACTAGTTCGAAGTACAATTTTTTGTTCATCATTTCTTCCATATCACATTTTTTCTTTCTTCCATGTTCTTCACTGCTTTCGTATCCACTCGTTTTTTGAATACAATAAAAGCCTTTGTGAAATGTCGGTTCAGCTCGTTCTGTTGATCGCAATTCTA